CTACTTTACATCATAGATTACATAAAGGCTATTATTTACAATAATGCTGTATTATGTAACCCTAGTGATCTGGCTAGACTACTGCAATAGTTGAAATATAACAAACAATGTATACTGAGTGAGAATTGTCATTTATTAAATGACAATAAGTATATAACAACGATAAAGTTAAGGGGAGATCACCGGGATATTTCCTGAGTACAAAGAACAATAAATTTGGCAACGGTATCTCCCCTGTTGCAAACAAACATTACTTTGGCAATGTTTATAAATTTATGCGCAACATTCTTTCATCACAAAGAAATGTTCCGCATTAAAACTGCTTCTTAATGATTCTGAGAGCAATTTTTAATTTGGATTTTTATAATTTACATTGTTTACATCAAATATGTTGCATAGCTAACTCTAATAAAAAGTAATCTTCTAAAAAATATTTTTAAAAATACTAATGAGTGATATATACTGTAATCTGTGTCTGACTTTTTTTGTACAAATATGTTTTATTAGCATATATAATCTTTATTACTTCTAATGATATTTAATTAAATTTTCACTTGCTCTATCACGTTATTATGGAAAAATCTATATGGAATATATGAGCAAAAATGAAATTTGAAAGAATAGTAGGTTCAAAACTTTTGACTATCCTATCGGTTATACTTAAATAACTTATCATACATGTATAACATGTTCTGTGTTATTTAAAGATGCAAAATGCCGCTGTAAATCTGTATTTTATGCATTATCAATAACTGTTATCGTCCCGAACTTTTTAGATCCTTGTGATATATGTTCTAAGTCAGAATTTTTTTGTTTGATATACTCACAATTATAAGTATTAAAATATCTTGTTTCTCAGGTATTTTTTGACATGGTTTAACACTTTAACTAGGCAGTTGATCGTGCGTATCTAAATGCAAACATTTTTGGATGCAAATATTGAACTTCTACGTGTACAAAATCCATCCTTTGTTAAACCTGTTAAACTTTGTAAAAGAAATTAATATGCAAAATCATTTCTCTTTACAAAGGGTAAGTCTCTCTATCAAAATTAAAACAATGCATATTAATAGAAAAAAATATTAACCGAAGTCCACTTATTTATTTTAAAAACAGTGCATATTTATTATATGTATAAACCTACTTCATTCTTAACCCCTTTTTTGCAGTGAATATTTAACTTATATATTGTGCTAATACTCATATAAATTCCCATGCAAATTCTTTGGACTCTTGAAATTACTTTTTTCATAAATACCACTAACATTTAACAAAATCGATTGGTAGAAAACTGACAGAGACAACATAAGTGCATGGTATATAACCTCTTAAAGTACATAATATTTAGTGGATACAAACTTTCAACAGAATAGTTGATATCGCGATTACTCAACTTAGCGGAACTCTTTCGCGATGGAGGTAGGAAACATCTGTTGGATGGGGACAAATGTGCTATTGAATACAATGCAAGATCGGTCATTGTAGAGTTTATATAAGGATAGATAAGTAAAAATTCCTGGTGGAATACCTTGCTTGAAAATCGCTGAACCAGCCTAATTAATTTTTTAGACGAGCTAATCCTAAAATGTTATATTTTTAACGATATTTTTATCTAAGCGAACATTTCTCGTTAAAATTTCATTAAAAAATCGTCTGATTTTAAAGCTGATAAAATATTCTAAACTTTCCTTAGTTGACAATCTACGATTTGGAGTTCAATTCTTGGCAATACAGTGTACTTTCGGCATTAAATTGATCGAATCATCTGATTGTTACTACTGTAAACAATGTCATGTGTCCCCAAAATCTAGAGCTTTCTCGACTCTCCCGCAAAAGAGCGATAGTAAGTTAGATAACTGCGAAGTACTCGCGATATTACGTATTGTATTGACAAATATTTTTGTAAAAATATGGCAATTAATGTTTATTGCTTCTATTGACATTTAAATTTTCACTTTCTCTATCAGATAATTATGGAAAAATCTCTATGGAAGAGACAAAAAAGAGATTTAAAATTTGAAAGAATATTCGGTTCAAAACTTTCGACTATCCTATCAATTATACTCAAAATACCTATTACAGCGTTATTTGAAATGGCAAAATGCCGCTGCAAATCTTGAATTTATGCATTATCAATAATTTTATCGTTTTGAACTTTTTGAATCCTTGTGATGCGAGTTCTAGATCAGATTTTTTTGATTTACGTACAATTAAAGACCTCTTAATATCTTGCACATATTCGTCGTAGGATGAAAGCGATTTTAAGGTATAAATCACAGTTGTTCAATTAATTATATAACATACATCTGTGCACAAATTTATCCTTTACCCTTCTTTTTGTTTCTCGAATATTCTTTGATATGATATTGCACTTTAACTAGAAAAGTGCTCTCGAGTATTTTAATGCAGACCACTTTGGTTACAAATATTGAACAAAATCGATCCTGCGTTAAACCTGTAAAACTTTGGAGAAAAAATAATCTGCATGCAAAATTATTTCTCTTTACAAAGGTTTAGACTCTATCATCCAATTTAAAACTATGCATATTCATAGAAGAAATATTGATTAAAGTCCATAAATTATTCAAAAAGAAATGCTTACATATTATAAACCTATTTTATTTTAAACCCCTGTTGTTTTTGTATTCATATTTAAAGGTACTTGGACACAGATTTTAAGTTATTATTTTCGATATAATATAACGACTTATATATTTTAATAGCATTTCACACAAAAAATAATTAAAAATCTTATTTCGTTTAAAAGATATTGAAATTTCAAATTTTTCGGCGGGTTTGATTGACATATTGTTGTACTCTCACAAATTTGATTTTATTCTTAATCCTTAGGAAAAGTAGCAATCTCGTTTTGTATGAATGAAAAATATTAATACTATAATCCAGAAAATTCAGAGTAGACACGTTCGAAAGAAAAACAAACACACAATATATTGTCAGTCCGTGCAGTTGTAGTAAGCAGACTGTGACGATTGAACGCGCCCGGTGAATTCTAAATATAAACAACAAGTAGAGCTTTTCAAAAAAGCTTACCGTCTATAGCAACAATTTTAAACAGTAAACAGATCTACACTTAACATGCCGTATAATTCTTTCGAATCTCTTGATTTTGTATTTCTAAATTAGCTTTTTACGGGCATTAGCCCTACCACGGTTGTCGCTCGGTCATCTCCGTAAACTTTGATTGGCCGAGAGCTTTCGGCAAACCTCGGCTGATTCCCATTCACTCTTCAAACAAGAAAGGGGAAAAGAATAATAACAAATTGTAAAGCCTGCAAGCAATAACTATCAAATTTTATTTATAATGAAATTAAAGAGACCTTTTTATTTATTGCTATAAAAAATATCATGTTATTAAGAAATAATTACTGCTTATTTTGTTGTTCCTTTTGTCATTTTTTTAAGATTGGAAATCTTGCAAAATTGTTAAGTCGTACGAAAAATAGATCATCAGAAAGTTATCTCCCTTGCCTTGAACAACATTTCTACCAATGAAATAATTGAAAATTTTCTCATCAGGCAATTTCTACCAATCACAAAAGAGAGGAAGTGCATAGTCCGAAGACTGTAAAAAACTTCAACTATACAATACCGTCTTCCAAGGAAGACGGTAATAACAGAACTCGAGTCCTGTTTACAAAAACTGTGTACATAACACGAGTGTGCTCGATTTGCTAAATTCTGTACGCATCTCTTAGTTCGGAATGACGATACTTGTGAAGGTGTTTTGCTTTCTAACATTTCTACTCTGAATAAAATTATTTTTCTTGATAAAAATTCAAATATTTCTCATTAAAACACATCAAAATTGCCACTTTTCCTAAGGATTAAGAATAAAGATAAAATTTGTGAAAGTGCAATGGTGTGTCAATCAAACCCGCCAAAAAAATTAAAGTTTTAATAACTTTTAAATGAAATAAGGTTTTTAATTAATTTTTGTGTGAAATGCTATTAAAATATATAATTCGTGATATTATACAGAAAAAATGAGAAAATATTAACTTCAAATCTGTGTCCAAGTACTTTTAACAGCCCTCAATAGCCCTTGTGCTATTACTCGTATAGATACCCAAATATCCGGCACGCAAGCCCTCTGGACTCTTGAGATTACTTGTTTATCATATTTTAAAAGTACCACTTACATTTAAAGCAACGACTGGCACAGAATTGACAAGGACGACATAAGTGCATGATATTTAACCGTCTTGATGTAATAATTAGTGAGGATGCAAACTTCGATATAATTGTATTAAAATTAATGCAAAATATTTACAATTTCTTACTTTGGTTTTAAAGTTGGTGTAAACAGAAAATCACATAAGTGCGATACAAAATCAAAATACACTGTACATACATAATTTCTATACTCAGTTTTATTTAGATTTTAGGTTTTTATGTTGTTCTTTCCACGTGGATCATTCAATGAATGCAAAATACCTCAAATTCTTAATAAATTTGTATATTTGATATTAGTTAAAAGGAAAACTATGGTTTGAATAAAGTTAATTTGTTATGAAATTGATTCAGTTTGCTATACAAATTTTATCAAATCTGTTTTAAAAGAAAACATTCAACAGTTATTACGAATTTTCCCCAAAATGTTTTAATTGATAAAATCCTTTTTCAAAAATTACTTTTTAAACGGCCCTTTACGGGCTTGTGATTTACACGAACTTAAAGAAATTATAACGATACCAATCTGAAACTGGGCAAAAATACGCTGTCAAAAACACTAGAACAGGATGCAGACTCATAGTGCCAAGCACTTGGCAAAGGGACAGTTGCTACCTATTTTTCAAATAAATTTTATTCCAGTAGCTACCGTGGTTCGGAACCCATGACCTTCTGATCAACCTGCTGAGCTACCGTGACCATTAAAAAGTTTTTGACGTAAATATTATAACAATGCCTTTTACTTCCTTATTTCAAATATGAAAATTAAATCACATGACTACTTTAAATATAAAAAGGAATATATACTACTAACTTGCTTCTCTTCCTGGAAAATGATAATTTCTACACGATGGTGAGCACAGTTATGTTATTTCTTTATTGCCTACTTCCTTTTCTGTTTTATAGCGTGCACTTTGTTTATCCCCAAGCAATTTATGACGACGAAAGTACGTTCCAGGGAACATTTACAAAGACTTTGAAATCATCAGTATGTACAGAGAATGTGCAAAATTGTGAAAAGCGATTACATCAAAGCCAAATTTTGCAAGAAAACATGTCAAAGGAATTATCAGAATATAAATCTAAGCTAATGGAACTGAAAGTTGTACACACAGGTAAATTTTATTGTTTGTGCTTTAGCTGATTATCAAAAAATTATATATTTATGCACTTATTTTAAAACTTCATGCATAAATGGAAATTTTATGGATTTTTCCCTACATTTTAAATGTTTACTTTTTCGCCTTCTACTTAAGGATTCCTTTCTTGGGCTGTGCAGGATCTGTGTAGGAACATCAAACACTTTGTTTTCGAAGACATGGAACTTTGTCCCTTTTATTACAACTTCAGCCAAAACAATTCTTATCTTCAACGCTGTCCAGCTCCTGAAATGTTTTCTGACATAAGCATGACGTGTCAAGATCCAAGCACTGTTATCTGTGGCTCTAGGGCTATACCAGACGGATGTAAGTAAAATGAACAAATTGGTTTAGTAATATTTCAACACTGTTAAAAAGATGTAATTGTGTTTATTTCTATCATGCTGTCTTGGGTTTTTGTGGACTGGAATGATAAAAAAATTACAATTTTTCTTCTTTCTTTAAAAAAACAGATATGTGCGACTTTGAAGCGCTTGATGAGCCCAATTGCTTTCTGGAGAATTCAAAATCTGATACATTTGATTGGACTAGGAAAAATGTACGTTATCAATATATACACATCTACTGATAATTCTTTGTAATACCGAACTATTTTAAATTTATTATGAAAATAATCTCTTCTTACATAGTGGAATAGTTGGCAGTTTGAAATCATCAAATATTATTCAAAGCGATGAACGTCTCCATAAACTGTTCGTTTTTTGTCCCGTGAAAATAGCTTTTTATTATTTTTTTTCGTTTCCTATTATCATTCATCTTCCACTGATTTTCTTTCTTATTTGAAAATATTGTTAGAAATAATGAAAATTTTTGACCTAATGACCTTGAAATATGACCCTTTTCGGTCCCTTTGTATGCTAAACCTTTTCAAAGCTACTTCCTATAAAACCGTAAACCACAGAAATACGAAAGTGGCAGTCTCTACTCATTGTGAAAGGATATGATCTTTACTTTAAAAAGTATAATATGTTGTTATCCGTTTTTTTTTCTTGTTCAAAAATATATATATTTACATTTTTGCACATGTTTGCCCATATATGACACTATTTGAACAATGCGTTTTTACATCTCTGTAAAACACGTTCAACATGTGTCCATATATAATAATTGTTTAGTCAAACGCGATCTAAGTAATTTCATAGTGACGTCACAAGTGATGGACGTGTTCAACAAATTCAATTTATACCGTTGAAATTTGAATAAAAAAAAACTCCTTTATGGATTTCAATCTTTAGTACTGTAGTATTTGTAGTAAATCAGTCGCAAATGTAAATATAAGTAATAAAATATCATTTTTTTTTTTAGTTTTATTGGGATGTAAAACGGATTGGCACATAATCAAATGTTTCATAAAGCCCGGGCTTTATGGGATTTGATCATGTGAGCAACCCGTTTTACATCCCAATTAAACTAAAAAAATGATACCTTATTTCTTAAATTAATCATAAAGACATGAAACCAACTGCATTAGGATCGTCTTTTGGTCAAGATGAGAGGTCACGGTCCCTCAAATAATAATAGAAAAATTTACCGTAGAGACACCAAACTTTTATCAATGTCATAGTTTTCTTAAAGTAACGTTACTGTGACGGAAGCTCAGTCGGTAGAGCGTTTACACCGCAATTAGAAAATCATTAGTTCGAATCTCGGCCGCGACGGACCTAGGTAAATAAAAAATATAGGTAGTAATTGTTCCTTCGCCAGGAACCGGAAACTTTGAAGTGAAAGTCGCGGGTCCTTCGCATGTGACCTTAAAAATCAAGTCCCCTTGTAACGGCAGGCGTTGGCATGATAAAGATATCTCATTGCCAATGGCTTTGTGAAAGTGAACATTTGAAGCCCTAAACCGGTATATGGTGACCACTGTATATGAGTGAAAAATTTCCGAATGTTCGAATGGGACGTAATACAATTTACAATACAATTTAAAATTTAAAAAAAAGAGTTTTCTCTAAACATTATCATTGTCTTTATATATCTCTATTTTTTCAACGAATATATGAGCTTATTTGGGAGATCTTTGTTGATATCTCTAGGCAACTTTGTTCTAAATGTATCCCGAAATCATAGCGCAGTCTATGTTTCGGAAGATTGTACATTACATTCAATCTGGTGAAACACTTCTTTAGATATCTTTAAAGAATTTCATCAATACATATATGTTACTGTATACTGGTCAAAAATACTAACTGACCGTTTAGTATTTCTAGTCTACAATCTGTTGCTAATTCCTACGACATTTCCTTTTGTTTTCTATTCGCCGGATTTTCAATACAGACAACAAAGTTTTCCTATATTTTACTTAATCAAAACTTTCAAGCTTTTATATTTTCTCGTGCAAATTGTTCGAGCATACTCAGTATTGCTGTGACTTCGATCAACGTATAGTTTGAAGTTATTTGTACATTTATTGCAAGTATTATTAAAATTATCTGTGATGATGGTGGAAGAGGAAAGAAAAGGGAAAAAATGTAAAATGATTGCATGGGTTGAAGAGATTGATTGATTGTATATTGTTTAACATCCATCTCGAGAATTTTTCACTTCTATGGAGACGTCACCGTATCCCGGTGAAAGGCTTCAAATTTAGACCAGTCCCATACTCGGCGCTAAGGGCCATTAAGCAGTAAGGGTTCTTTATCGTGCCAACGCCTACCGTGACCCGGGACCTGCGTCTTTAAGGTCATATCCGAAAGACCCGTGACTTTCACTTCTAGTGCCGAGCGCTTAGCGAAGGACTGTCACTCTCCGTATTTACGTCTTAAGTATGACGCAGCGCCGACAACGAGAATTGCACCGGGCCTTCCGATCACGAAGCGAACGCTTCTACCATTAGACTACCGTGACCGGTGGGTTGAAGAGAACACTAACTGTGGCCTTCAACTCGACATTTAGATATATCGACGACGTATTGTCAATTAACAATGGTAATATCCATTCCTATGTCGATACGATATATCCTGGTGAGCTTGAGATAAGAGATATCACAAATTTTACTTGAAAAAGACACTAATGGCAATCTGACAACCCAGCTCTATGATAAACGTGATGACTTTCACTTTTCTATCGTCAGCTTCCCTTACCTATGTAGTAATATACCTTCATCACCTGCATACGGAGTTTACATATCTCAGTAGATTCGATACGCTAGAGCATGCTGTACGTATGAACAATTTCTTAAACGAGGTAAATTACTGACAAACAAGTCGATGAAAGAAGACTGACAGCAGTCTCGTTGAAAAGCATCATTTCATAAGTTTTATGGTCGATGGTCGATACCATGAACTTGTCAGCAACTACAATTGTTAATCCATTATTTATACACCGAATTGACGACGGATTTTTGCGTTATTTACAGATCATGACAAGGAGCACACGGCGGGTGTGACCGGTCGGCAGGGGATGCTCACTCGTCCATGGCATCTGATCCCACCTCTGATGTTTTGGAGGTCTTTGTTTGCTCTGCCCCTATTTTGTATTGTTTTATGGACTTTGACATTGAATCTTGTTCGTTATCTCCATATCCTGCACGCTTAAACAATAAAAAACCTCGAACATTAACTCTATCATTTGAGATGCCTTTTCGATCTTTGAATAAAAACAAACTAGGAGTGAACTTTCCATATTTACGTAGTAACATTCTGATATCACCTGCATGTTGTGTTTAAATCTCCAGACTATTTTGATACTCATGAGCATGATGCAAGTGCGATCAAATTTCAAACCGAGGCTGGTTTCATACAGACACGTGGGCCATTCAATAAATGCAACATGTCATCTAAAAATAAGACAAGCACGTAATACATATTCTTAATAGTTTCGTTCCTTCAAGGCATTCCCTGTTACCCTTTACACATGCCTTAGGTTTCAGTGTACCCATGATCAGAAAACATCAGCATACTCATCTTTAGGAATGGCCAAAAGACACTGATGAATATAATTTCCAATGATATATCTGACATTGACAATCTTCATTTGATAGTTTTCATGTGTTTTGGGAATAAAATGACCTCTCAGTGGCTTAGATCTAACTAATAGAAGAGATGGAAAGGTTTTATTTATTTTTAATTCTTCAAACTCTTTAAACTAATATTCAACTGCGTTGTCAGGCACAGGTAAAATACCCTGGTTACCGAAATTCGGACTACCGTTGCAGGAAATCTGTTTTACTTTACTCGATGCAATTCGAAATGAAAGTTACCTTGCTCGTCCTTTGGTTTGATGTATGTATATGGTACTAACTGATCTCTCTAAATACAATAAAACTACTTAAACATTGTAACATGATAAAATTAAATACTTTCTTTGATACCTCTTTTCTTATTTATTACTAATCTTATTTTCCGGCTAAAAAAGTGTACCTTTGTATCGTCATTTATCAAGAAAGTTAATATAATCTTCTATCTTTTAAAAACTTTCGTTTTTAAAAGGCCATTTGTATATTTAACGCTTGCTTTCTCTAAGGCATTTGTAAAAAAAAAAAAAAAAAAAAAAAAAAAAAAAAAAGACACCTATCTTCTAGAAATTATGATATAGTTTTTCCCCTTTGTCATAATTCTAAAAAAAATGCTGTGATGGTTAAACGTTTAGAATCTTAACGATGTCATGTAAATGTTGCATCTTCATATGGCACATAACATCATATCCACTGGTAACCCCATAATTTTCAATCAACCAGATTGACAGTTATATTTAATCTTTCATTTTTTTCTTCTGGATTATTAAATCCATCCGAAAAGTATACATTGATAAAGATCATTTCTTTATACATATAAAAATCATATCTTTAATAGGAGTTCTTTGGCTATTTATGTAAAAAGCAGTTTTCAAATACGCTGTTTTTTCCATCTTTTTAGGAGAGATTGTTTATGAAAAGTTTTCTGCTCAGTGTAGTGACTATGCTTAATTTAAAAGTGAATTTTATTTAAGAAATAAAGTCCGCGTTTTCGTGAATGTTGCAGAATAACCTCCGAGGTCGAGAAATGTTGTTTGAAAGATAAAAGCCGAGGCGTTAGCCGAGGCTTTTATATTTCAAACAACATTTCGAGACCGAGGAGGTTATTCTGCATCATTCACGACAACAAGGACATTATTTCTATTCTACCAAGATCGATAAATACGGCTGATCGCTTCCTCTATAGAGAAACGAATTAGGTCACCATGTCTCGATTACGCTGTTCCATTTAACACTAGAGGTAAAATTTGTTTGCTTACCTGTGTATGGAATGCAGACGATCTGAGCTTTCGTTACATTAAAAATAGCCTTTTTTAAATTACAAATTTGTTCGTTATCTGTATTGATCAGTTAAAACGAATATACAATAACAAAATCATGTTCCTTTTTTACTGCTAAAATCACGTTGTTTAATGTGTAGGGAGGTCCGTGGAATAGCCCCGCTTAGCTATAAAAACCGACTTCATCAGCAACTTTATGAAATTTACAGTGTTTATTTCTTACAAAGACGACACATCGATGCGGTCTAAACAAGTATTTCATTCTTCAGCCAAACATGCATTTGAATTGTTTTAATTTGATACGTGTTTCTGATCTGATAATTTTTTGATGACGTTCGTGATTCATTGGAGAATAAAGTCCGGCGGTTTCCTTTGATGTTTTCAATAATCGTGGTAGAATATAATATTAATAACAAAATTCATGGGGGTTTCTGTGTTTAGTACCTCTTTAAACGAACTTTTCAAATCTGAAAAAAAAGAAAGTTAAATGTACCATCAATTATTATCATATACTGTATATTGCATTTCTTATTGAATGACCCTCGTATTGAAATGTAACAGGGTTTGCAACAACTTTGTTCCAAGTCAGCATTTGTTAAATCCATGGTCGTTTCTTGAATGCTGTTTTGAGAAATATGCCTCATCTGGTCTCAAGATGTCATGATGTTTCATTTGTGATATTTTTTACTAGGGGTCTACAAGTTCTACTAATACGGGACCAAGTTCAGCGTATCATGGAAAATTTTATACGTATATTGAAACCTCTAGTCCGCGAAAGTTAGGAGATAATGCAATCCTGGAGAGCAACAAAATATTTCAAGGTATATTTATTTCTCATAATTACCGTAGCAACACTTGTTATGTGTAACCTTTTTTTATTGCAGGTGATTGGGTTTTTAGCCGGGCTTTGGCTCTAGTCATAATGATCGTCTATCTAACTATAAATAGCAAGGTAACCAAATAAAAAAAAACAAGCAGCATCGAAGCAGACACTTCCGATAAACAAAATAGTCCCACTGCCAGACGATATTCAAACAAATATTTTAACATCTCAATCGTTGGAAAAGTTAATAATCAATATTTTTGCTTTAAAATTAAATTGAAAGAGAAGTAAGATATTTGCTTTATCAGGATAATCGTGATTTAACAATTTGTGCACATACGCTGCTGATTGTAAGCGAAAAATTTTCAATAGTGGGGGCTTTTATTGCAGAAATGTTGCAATTGTTGAAGATTTTCATGTTTAATATCGTTTTCGTCGATGTTATGATAGCGGTTATATTCTGTTTTGATTTTTTAGCAAATTAATAATGTAGTGAATTGGAATTAAATTGAGTGAAGTCGCTTGACAATGTACCTGTATGTTTTTCTATATTTTATTGGCGATAAAAGTACTGTTTTTTTTAAACTAAAAGAAAGTTTATAAAATACACATGTGCATTATTTTAACTTTTGCAAGACTGAATTTTTAAATTATGAGAAAAAAAGTGCTTATCGAATAGAAAATATGCGAGAATTTCTTGGAAATATTATTTTTTAAATTTTAAAATCATAACATATTTTGGGGTCTGGACTGTTAATTTTAATTACTGGTATATGGGATATTGTTTTCAATCATAATCATACAAAAAAAAAAACCATGGCCAAAAAAAATAGCTATGTACTAATTCCGGAACAGACAACATACTCGAGCAATTAAAGCCCGGCTTTCAGTTCTTTCAATACTTTGATTTTTATTATCCATCGTTTATCAATATCCATCCAGACTATGTAGAGTCTATCAATGAGGTTTGAAGGATATACAACCACGATTTTGAAATTACGACAGAAAGAAACTCCTTAACGTGATTTTGCTTATAATTAATACAATAGATACAATCACATTTTTTATCAAAAACGCTTTATATAATATAAGTTATTGAATGAAAGCTGGAGAGGAAACACGGCAAAACAATCGGCCATTTCTTGGTGATGATAGGTCTTAAATAATAGATAAAGCATAAATAATAAAGTATAAAGCATGCATTCAGTTTTACTTATTTTACTAATCTGTTATATGTGCTACTGCTGTGTATTGAGTATTTAAAAAATACCCCTAAAAACAGTTCAGAAGATTGAAATATCCATTTTTGCAACTGCTTTAAAAATAAATATAAAACGTTCACGTAAATCGGTACGTTTATCACCACTCTATGCTGATCTTTTTTCTTCCGTTATGTTTTAATATAAGTATGAGTTTCAGACTTTACTACCTGGATTACAGTGTACATAAAACGAAAAGAGTATTAAGTAAATTCTAACAAGCTGCTGTATACTTTTTTTTTCCAGAGAGATGGTACTGTCTTTATCTCTTTTATCACATGCATGGATCAAATATTGGAAATCTTACCATCAAAACCAAGGAAAGCTCTAAGAAACCTGTTGTCTTAAAACAATTATCTGGTGAGCAAGGAATGAAGTGGAAAAAGATGAACAGTTTTGATATCCTTTTAAAAAAAGATACCAAGGTAAAGGATAATTTATTTCAACACTTATCTTCTTTCAAATCGCTTTTCTTTAAGGATTTTAATTTGTGCTGCTATCTTGGCATGACGATTCTTACAATTTATATACCCCACAAAATATAGAAAATCCACATAAGAAGTAAACTCTCCTTCTTCCATGGAATTTAATTATTCCCAAAAAATTCATTTTGAAAATTTGACCTCAAATAATAAATGATTTTACAGAACGATATGGAGATAACGAACAGTATTCAATATCAAAGTCCATAAAACAATACAAAATAGGAGCAGAGCAAACACGGGCCTCCTAAACATCAGTGGTGGGATCAGGTTCCATGGTAATTAAAATTCAAATTAACCATGGAGGATATGATTACTTGTGTCATGAAACATAAAATGCAATGCAAATTTAACGTTGTAAAGATGAGAAATGAAAATGAGTCCCTGATGTATCTCATCCTTTTGAAAGTGCTTTATTGATTTTTTTTCATAAAGATTATATATTTATTTATATTTTGACAGATTTTGATCGAAGCTACGAGGGGTAAATCCTATAGGGGTGACATTTCGATTGACCTGATTATGCTTTTGCCTCGAATGTGCGAGTAGTCTAAGAGCAACCTATTTCAGCAGTTTGCAAGTACGGTATAAGTGGAAATTTTAGCGAGAGGCAAATTCAGATATTTAGTCTTAATTAGTATTAATTTTTAGCGATAACTAATTTTAGTGATTTCATACATGTGATGTCCATAACAAAACCTATTACTGATTATATGCAATAATTGTTAGCGAGATTCAATTTCAGCGATCTCAGCAACCTCGCTAATAACGCCAAAACTAAATCCTCGCTAAAAATTCTGCTTATACGGTATTTTTCAAAACAAAGTGAATTGATTGTAAAATGAAATTCATGAAAGCAAATTCAGTTCGGTTCTATCGATAAAGATATTTTGGATGTGAAGCGGAAAGATGTTTTTTCCTTATATTTTAATCATAGCGAAACTTATCGCCCTTGTTATTTTTAATTACTTACTGTATGTATTAAAAATAAAAACTTATTACTGTGAATCCAAATTAAAATTATCAATTATAATCATTGTATGTTTTTTTGTGTGATTGATAAAAGTTTATTAATTGAAGGCTTAATTGTTATTTTAATTTGTTTGTAAATAAATAATCACTTAGTATTTTATATGGTATCAGAAAATTTTTTTTTTTACTGGCACTGTACGTTTGAGCTTCTAGAGGTCGTCCTTGACCGACTCTGCGTGTACATGTACATGTAAGTATGCGGACTTCCCTGCTTAATTTGGACTGTTCTAAGTAGTAGGTGTGTGTGGTCATCCATTCTGATTGCTTGACAGAATGTGTGGTCATCCCTACTCTGTAATTAGCATCTCTTAGCAGCAAGTTTGCGGACATCGCTGCTTGTTGCTGTGCAAGATTAGGTGTGTGAACATCCCTGCCTGCATCTTGTGGTTGAGCATTGGTGTGCGGACATCCCTACCAGTGTTTCTAGTCTAGAACGTGTCTTAGTGTCAAGTGTGCGGTCATCCCTGCTTGTCACTGCGCAAGGGCAAGTGTGCGGTCATCCCTGCTTATCTCTTGTGGAAGTGCGCTGGTGTGTGGACTTCCCTGCCAGTGTCACTTGTTCGCTACCAGTAAAGACCTTTTATAACGCAGTACCAGGTGATTAAGACTGCGCATTGTACATATTTGCACCATCTCAGGGCTATCCGTTTCTATCACGGGTACGAGCCCGCGGGGGTTCACAGGCAGTGACCTCCCTTGCACGATACAGATGTTACACACGATCATAAGGTTTTTTTTTATTTTATTTTCACTCCGTCTGTGCACCAGTTGTTGAGTTGTTGATATAAAAAGTAAAGTCAAAAGGTTTATTTAAGGTTATGTGGGTAAAACGGCTTTTAAGCAAAAATATTTTTTTTTCAATCATGTGCAAGCAAACAATCATTTGGCTTTAAAAAATCTTATAAAGACTTGCAGCACAAATATCATGTGCTGAAAAGAAGAAAAAAATTTTTTTTTTACACTTTTGGAAAAGATTTTACCAGCTAAAGCAAATATATTAAAATCAAAAGTATAAATGTCTACTTTGTGCGCAACAAGACATCTTTACATTTAAGCTAAGTTATGAAATGTTCCCCTGCCGTCGCTTATAAATTTGCGAAAACATACTCTGAAAACATATGTACATTAACTTTGAATTTTAATTTTAAAGAACACAAATCACAAATTTATGCTTAAACCTTTTCATTTTTGGTGACAGTTTAAAATAAACATATGTGATATTTGCTCTGGAAAATGTGACATTTTGCTTGTTTTTTCATACATATTTTATTAGGTTTAACGAATGTTTACTCATTGTTTAACACTGAAATGGATTAAATTTGCTTGCAGTTTTCTAAATACTTGTTGAACATAGAGTTTATAAAATTCTTTATCATACCTCATTATACTGTAAACGTAATACACTTAGCGGTGTATTCTATTTAGCGATTCTGGCGGAAAGCAGAGTCTGCTAATTCAAGTACATAGCTAAATGTCTTGTATATTAACTTTTATAACTAGTAAATTCAGACAGCGCTAATTCAAATTCACGCTAACGTTGCAAATTGAATTTCCGCAAAATATCGTACACGCCAAATATAATACATTTACAGTAATCATTCTACACAACGCGTTATCTTATTGGTTCTAGATTTCATAGTCGTCGGCAGACTTTGCATATTCTAAGTCTTAGGATATCTAGTGCATTTTACTGCAATATAATACACGTTCGTTGAAAGAAAACTCCCGAGAGTAGAATACATCATAATAGCCCTATTTACCTCACAAAATTGCTGATTAGTGATGTGTCAAAGGGTTTCAACAACTTTACATTTACTGAATTTGAGAGCGGTGCCGAATTAAAAAATATATGTTTATTTAATAAAAAAAAATATTGCATGTTTCGGTTCCGGTATAATGAACAACTCAATGCCTGATAGTGAGGGTGAAACCTTCTGGGAATATGATTTTTCTTGGCTGAATCAATCTTCATTTTTCCCTCACTATCATGCAATAAATGTATATTATCATATAGTCTATTTGCAGGATTATTTTTAACATTTGGACGTCTTGCACAAAAAACTCAAAGGAAAACACGGAAGTGACAAATAATATGGACATTTTTTTTTTTCAGCGACAGAAGTTCGTTAATGAAAATGGTGTCATCATTTAGCCTTCAATGTCTTATTTATTCATATTAGGACTATATAATAAAACAATTATGGACTTTTTTGGTGTTGAATATAGTTTGTTATTCACCAGAAAAATTTTCATATTGACTTTGGCTTCGCCTCAGTCAATTTGAATATTTTTCTGGTGAATAACAAACCATATTCAACACCAAAAAAGTCCATAATTGTATAATATTCACCAAATTTTAGGCCGTATTCACAAAAGGGACAGTGCGCGTGCAGCGGCATTGCGTCGTCACACTCCGTACCTCAAACAATGATGTAAACAATGAATGCAACTGCCACAAGAAGCTGAGTAGGAAAAATGTAAGACTAGCTAAAATTATTTTAAAACATTTTGACATCTTACACATCTTATAAACTCGAAAAGGAAAACATTGAGGTTACAAACTGCGATCTTGAACTATTTTAAATGGAAAGTCGTAAATGAAAATAGTGTTGTATGCGGCCTTCAATGTCTTATATTTTCAAATCCGGACTATATAATAAATGGTGTTGTATATGGTTTTTTATTCACCAGAAAGATATCAATATTGACCGAGGCGAAGCCGAGGTCAATATTGATATTTTTCTGGTGAATAAAAAAACATATACACCAAAAGAGTCCATACCGGTAACTGTTTTATTACATAGTCGGGATATGAATAAACAATACATTGAAGGCTGCATAACGACACCATTTTCATATGCGATCTTCCATTGATGCAAATTAAAAAAAGTCTAGATCAAAGTTTGTAACCTCCGTGTTTTCCTTTCCGAGTTTCGCCATTTGTACATGTTGTAAGACGTTCAAATGTTAAAAATAATTCTGCGATGCTTCACCGTTTGTTTAATAGTTTCCTGCTACATACATTATTAGTTATGTAAACACTTGGAGGGGTAATACAGAAATATGTGGGGTCCTTGAAAAAATGCAATATGTATTTTTTCAAGGATCTCATATGCATATTGGGCGAGGAGTAAGCCTCGCTCAATATGTATTTTTTCAGGGACCCCACATATTTCCGTATTACCCCTCTAAGTGTCTTCATAACGAATTTAACCTGCCGATGGTTCTCTAAAAGACTAAATATTTATAGTATCGATATAACGCTTTCACCGAGGGAAGCAAATCGTTGCAAATCCACTGTTGTCGTCAGACGCATTGTAACGTGAGTTATGAAGCTCCATGTGGGGTCACGTGAAAACAGGATATATTGATGATGTGTTGTTGGTAAATTTTAATAAATGGTGGATAGGTCACGTGGAGGAGGCACATTAGCAATGTAAGGTGGGTAGACAGTATAACATCGTTAAATACAGTATTGCTCCCAGCCAATGAAATTTCTAGATTTTAATGAGAGACAGGATAAAGCGAAATATGGCCGTTGCAATATTATTTACAACGTTGTTTGAGGTGTTGCGTTGATTGTGACGTCACAATGCCGTTGCAAGCACATTGACGCTCCAGTGAATACGGTCTCAAATCCGGTGAATATGTAATGTTATGAACTGTTTGCGTTTGTATAGATTACATGGGGACTATAAATAGACTATATAATAAAAGGTTAAAAGGGGTCATCAGATTGCCAAAACCTTGACACAATTAATCTCGAAAAGGAGAAAAATAGTTGTAGGTAAACGATATGGAGATAACGAACAGTATTCAATATCAAAGTCCATAAAACAATACAAAATAGGAGCAGAGCAAACACAGACCTCCGAAACATCAGAGGTACGATCAGGTGCCATACTCTATTAAATACATGTATTTAAAAATAATGTTTATTAACAATAATTATGCGATATTTCAACGTTTGCTAAACGTCACCTCCGTAGAAAATTGACCGGGGATCATTCTTCTACGTAGAAATTTGACCCCCTGGTCAATTTTCTACGAAGAAAAATGACCCACCTTTTTGTAGAAATTATGGTCTTGGGGTCGTTTTTCTACATGTGTATTGTAGAAAAATGACCCCGTAGAATAATGACCCCTTGTCATTTTTGATGCAGAAACATTCGATTAGGTAGGGATATTCTTGATAGGCAAATGCATATGGTTATTATCAAGTAGACTTATCATATGAAATGTTCATTTATGAAAGCTTTTAAGCTTAAATTACGAAATCAAAGTCATACATTACCTAACATTAATAATACAAACGGTTTTATTCCCATCAAAGGAAATTATCATATAGATAATAAAAAGATGCATAGACACAGATTTGAAGTTAATATGCTTCGTATATTATTATTACTATTATCATCATTGTTGTTGTTGTTGTTGTTCCCCTTCACCCATAGATATTTTATGCCAAAATTGGTTGAAATTGGGCTTAGTGGTTCTAGAGAAGAAGCTGAAAATGTTCAAAAGTTTACGAACGATTGACGAGTACGACGGACGACGACTGACAAAAACAGAGAGAAATAGGTCACCCTATTGACATGGGTGACCTAAAAAGGTCATTTTCTAACTGGCGTCAGAAAAGACACTTCAAAACTTTTCATAATTAGATCTTTATGATTTTACCCTGGATATATAATTTACAATAATCAAATATATTTTCATTTTTCAAAACTTTAACGTTTGCTTAGAAAATTAGATCTTTGGTTTCTTAAATGATTTGTTTTCTATGAATGAAGTTTCAAACCTCAAAAATAGGGATGATTCAACGAAATATCTTCCTGAGTTTACACAGTATTTCATAATGCGTATATGTATGCGCATGGTGACAAAGATTCTACGTGTATCTATGGTGATCATAACGTTAAACACGTAATATATTGGTACTTTTATGCCCTTAGATCCTTCATCTGAGATTGAGGACACATTTTTAGTCTCTTCTGTCATTCTGTTTTACACTTAATCGGCCACAAACTTACTGAAACTGATTTGATTAAATCCCTCTTTTACATAATCGTATTCAATGGCATTGTACAGTAAAACTGAAAAGAAAAAAATCCAATAATATATACAGATAAACATGGAGAGTAATAATTAAACTAAAGCATCAAAATCCTTAGAGAAGTACTGTATACAGGGAAATTTTCGCCCCAGCTTTATTTTCGCCCCTTTCGCCCAATCCTCATTTGGTCGAATTTAAAACGGGGCGAACTCAAATCATACAGTATAATTTAATAAACAAAACAATGATTGGGCGAATTTAAAACAGGGCAAAATTGTTTGCAAGTGTGAAAGGACGAAAATAACCCGGGGCGAAAATAACCCTGTACACAGTAATATTTCAAGTTGTTTTGAAATCCAATAAAATTTGATTGTTTAATATGCAAATTAAAGGTAGATTGTTTCACAGTTTTTGTTCGATGTTAAAACTCCTGTCGCTGAAAGTTTTTCTTTGATTCATAAATATATTCAATTGGACTGTGTAAGAGCATTGGGAACTTCATCAAATGATGATTGATTGATGTTGGTTTATGTCCTGTTTGAGAATTTGTCACTCTTACAGAGATATCGCCATATGATCGGTGAAGGGCTTCAAATTTAGACCTTTATCGACACTCAGGCCCATTAAGCAGTGAAATCTCTATCATGCTAAGACCTGCCATTACATGTGACTTCAGTTATAAGGTCTTATCCAAAGGACCCCCAACTTTCACTTCAAAGTGCTAATCACCTGTGAAAGATGCAGTTGCTAATATTTTTTTATCGACGAAATAGAGCCGTAACCGGGGCTCGAAACCACGACCTTACGTTCAAGCTATAGCAATTCTCATGAATGGGTGTAACGTAATTTATAAGAGGCTTCTAAAACAAAAATCTCATTTATATGCCTTTTGCATTAATTTCATTGGTAATTCTGTATTCGTGTTAAATTTTTTCCTCGAAAGAGGGCACCCTGTGTATTATCTACTTTAAAAGGGTGAATTCTGAAACTGAACAAATTAACAGAAATGGAAAATGGCATTTGATATCGAAGTATTGGCATGATAGACCAAGCTTTCATTTTTATTTACAAAGTTAGTGTCTAAGAAAATCTCAGAAGAAAGGGAGAGGTTACAGCAACCATATGGCAGGTGTCTGTGGGTTAAAAAGTGTTGAAATAAGGATTTTTTAATGAATTTATAGATATCTGTGATGGTTGAACTATTATTCACTCATATGTAATTTTTTGCCCGTTTTGGGTTTTTTTTTTAAAATATCATTATAATAATGTTCTCGGTGTGTATGGCATTTCCCTTAAGTTTAAATGTAAGAGCTAAGGGATTTGAATTCATATCAGTTAAATTGCGTTGCTTTTCTTTCTTCGATGCAATGTTTGGGGATTTGTAAAATTTTTCAAAAATGAATTAAAATGGTTAAAAGTGCTAATTTAATTCGGGGGCCCCCTACGAGTTTATGGTAAACAGAAGTTTCATTTCATGCCGTTTTCGGATCAAAACCTTTGAATGAGAAATAACCGAAAATATAATCATTAATTTGTGCTCCTCGATAAATTAATATTTTTGAGGATTTTGCAAGCCAAAAAAAATCCATATCCGATTCATGGATTATGAAACAACCAATAAGATATGCAATCAAATATATGTTGGAAAGGAGTAAAAGACATTCCCCCTCTTTACATTTGAAAGTGTAAAAAAATGTATCAGGAAACACAGATATAAGGGTTTATTGTATAAAAAGAAGGCCCCGGGGCCACATCGCTCACCTGAGCAACTGGCTAGGTAAAAGCAAAAATTAGTTCAGTATTGAAAAGTTTAAAATATTTTTAAAATGGGTTCTGGGGAGGGGGTATTTAAACAAAATTAAATCTATACTTCCTTAGAATGATTTTGTTAAACATTATGGTTTTTGTTTATAAGATAAAAATCTTCATTGATATAGCCTTTGTATTCACTTGTCCACTTTATGGCTCCTCTATTCTCCTAAATTTTAAATCTAAATTATCATTTTTATGCCTTTAAATTGATGATCAATCATCATGATGGTTTTGTGAAGAATTTTAACTATTTTTACCATGCATTCTTACGTAAAACCTTATTCACCCATTGCGGCCACACCCTAGGGGTCCTAATTTGAACAAAATTAAATCTTCCTTTACAGGTGATGATTCTGCATGAGTTTCATCTTTCCTGGCTCAGTGGTTTTGGAGAAGAAGATTTTTAAAGATTTTTCCTATGTATTCCTATGTTAAACTTTGATACTCCGTTGTGGCCCCATCCTAGCCAAGGGGGTCATGATTTGAACAGACTTGAATCCTTGCTAGCTGGAGATGATTCCATATGAGTTTCATCTTTCCTGGCCCAGTGGTCTTAAAGAGGATAATTTTTAAAGATTTTCCCTATGTATTCTTTTGTTGTATTTGATGCCACTTTGTGGCCCCACCCTACCCCTGGGTGTCAAGATTTGAACAAACTTGAATCTTTGCTACCTGAGGATGATTCTTCATGAGTTTCATCTTTCCCGGCCCGTGGTTCTGGAGAGGATAATTTTTAAAGATTTTTCCTATGTCTTCTTACGTTAAACTTTGATACCCCATTGTGGCCCCACCCTACCGCAGGGGGTCATGATTTGAACAAACTTGAATCTTTGCTACCTGGGGATGATTCCACATGAGTTTCATCTTTTCTGGCCTAGTGGTTCTGGAGAGGATAATTTTTAAAAAAGATTTTCCCTATGTATTCCTAAGTTGAACTTTAATTTGATACCCCATTGTGGACCCACCCTACCCCCGGTTGTCATAATTTGAACAAACTTGAATCAACACTACCTGAGGATGATTCCACATGAGTTTCATCTTTCCTGGCTCAGTGGTTCTGGAGAAGAATATTTTTAAAAGATGATATTAATTTGTCACTAATTCATAATTATCTCCCCTTGGAAGAGGGGTGGCCCTTCATTTGAACAAACTTGAATCCCCTTCACTCAAGGAAACTTTGTGGCAAGTTTGGTCAAAATTGTCCCAGTGGTTCTTGAGAAGAAGATGAAAATTTGAAAAGTTAACGAAGACAACGACAACGACTACAACAACGACTTGGTGAGCTGAAAAAGTAGGGGGTCAAATTTCCATGGGAGTCATTTTTCAACGTGTGTGGAGTCGTAGAATTACTGGTCTGGAATGGTTTTCTACGGTCAAAATATGATATACTTGTAGAATATTGATCCTAAGTCATTTTTCTAAATGACCCCCTGGTCAATATTCTACGGGGGTCACTTTTCGTCTTTACACCGGTCCCATAATATTTCCTATGAGAATATCACAGAAAACATAAAAAAAAATTGCTTAACGGTCGTTGGACAAAAAATATTAAAATCATGAGAACTTAAAATTGCTGTCAAGAGCAACCGACTGGCCTCTCAAAATAGGGGCCAAAAAATCTTATTAAATCTTATCTCCTAAATGATATTTATATTTTACACATGCAATACTGAAGCAAAATTATTCGTCTTGTCAGTTTTTTATGTTTTTTTTTATATTTGTACAAAAATCTCAATTAAAATCTTATCACATCTTATCAATTATTCGACGGTAGACCCACTCGTTGGTCACAACGAGATCAGATCTTGTTATGTTGCTTTTACGTCTTATACTATAGAGTCAGTAATTAAGCTTACATGTACCAACATTAAATACATATTCTTTAAAAATATTGGTAACTTGCATTTTTATTACAATATCATACATGAGGACATAATTATTTTGCAATTTACATACTTTTCCTGTGTGTTACCTAATTTAATTATCTCTCATGTAGGTAGCAGAAATACACCTACATGAAGATTTAATTAATTGCACAATATCGGAATTAATATAATTGCAGCGAAATTGGCTCTGCGTTTTGTTTCAGTGCCGTATTATTTCATTACATCAGCCGTATCTATTATCTACCGAGGTAATTTCAAAAACAAAAGTCGCTATTGTCCAGGCACTACCGCTAACATAAACAATATACTCTCCTTTCGGCTAAGCAAGTGAGTATTGATGCACTCAAAACACGAAATAAGAGATAAACATTGATTGTGAAGATGCTGCAGACGAATGTTTCCATGGCAACGACCCTGGGAGTTTTAGCTTATTATAGAGAATTAGCATCAAAAACTGTTACAGCCGTGCTGTTTAAAATTGTTTTACATTATTAAACACTGTATCGAATCAGAGAGGTTTTGGAGGTTTCAGGGCAATATAGATATGCAGAGGTTGAAACAGGTATGTTAAACGTTCAGTGTTTGTTACTATATATAATTAATTTTCTTTCTTTCATTTTTCAAATTATTAGATGAACATTATCGAAAGAAATATTAAATGAATGTTATATATGTTATTTAACACATATATAATTATATAAATATCTGCATTATAATTGTGGCTCTATAAGCATGATAAAGTTCGCAAAAGTGAAATCAAATGCATTATTTTGAAAACAAGTAATTTTGTTGCGAAGTAAACACATAATAAGTTAACTTCATTGAAACCTGTAATAAAGTAATTTGACGTATCTCTCTATTGCTTTCTTTGTATACCCGTTAAACATTACTAGATGTGAAATTATATAATTATTCCAAGAAATACATCGATTTCATCTTTACTACATGAAATGTTTTAATGTATTTATTTGTAACATACTTCAACCAATTTATTTGTAGAATGGGGCTAGCTCGCTGTGGAAAAATTGTAAAGTACACGATGTTTATTCTCAACCTTCTGACATTTGTAAGTAAATGTATATCACTCAGTCTGTCTGATTGCTGTATATCACTCAGTCTGTCTGATTGCTGTTATTACACCGGTATACCTATGTAAATGTATATTATTTATAGCGCTTTTATTATTTTTCTGAAAATGATGGTACAATCTTTTAAAACATCATTATAGAGAGGTTGAAAAAAGAACCTACACTAAAAAAAATACACAGTACGTCCCCACTGGGCTTTCCCTCACAGTTATAGAGTAAATGTACCGTTATATCAGTTCTAACATGTCTATTTAAAGTATATAAACTATTCATGTATATATAAAGTCATCAAAACTCTCCGTAATTTTCAGCTGGGAGGTTGTGCACTTCTTGGATACGGGAGCTATTTAAAGGATAACAACATATCCCTGTTTGGTATATTGACAGTAGTTCTAGAGTATGTACATCTCTCCGTTCCATGGATATTGATAATTACAGCCATTGTCTGTATCATTGTGTCCTTTCTTGGTTGTTGTGGTGCCATCAAGAAAATAAGAGGCATGTTGACCATGGTAAGATTTCTCTTCCTGGAACAAATCTTCTCAATGATACAATCTACTGTAAACAACCAATTTTTTTTTATTAAATTAATAAGATTACATGTATTCTCATATACCTTAAGGAACATATGAACCTAATGTTGGAAACCTTTTCTCCCCCATATGGCATCTGATCCCACCTCTAATATTTGTACATAATTATTTATTTTTGCTCTATGTCTTATTTTATTATCAATGTAGATTTGTGAGCATGAATATTGTTTGTTACCGTCATATTTTATTCAATAAAACTTTTGAAATGCATCCATATTCCTTAAAATTGTATCTAGATAGGTAGAGTCCATCTTGTAGTTTGGCAAAATAAGCCTTAAACTGTCGACGCGATGAATAACTTAAGGAAATTAATTATACTGTTATGATTTACTTTCAAAAAATGCATATTTCTTCTGAATTGATTTGTCTTTCAAATAAAATTAATTATACTGTTATTATAATTTACTTTCAAAATATGCATATTTCTTCTAATTTGATTTGTCTTTCAAATGAAATTTATTATACTGTTATTATAATTTACTTTCAAAATATGCATATTTCTTCTAATTTGATTTGTCTTTCAAATGAAATTAATTATACTGTTATTATAATTTACTTTCAAAATATGCATATTTCTTCTGAATTGATTTGTCTTTCAAATAAAATTAATTATACTGTTATTATAATTTACTTTCAAAATATGCATATTTCTTCTGAATTGATTTGTCTTTCAAATGAAATTAATTATACTGTTATTATAATTTACTTTCAAAATATGCATATTTCTTCTGAATTGAATTGCCTTTCATTTTGTTTTTTTAAGCACTTTCTTCTCCTTCTTGGTTTGTTCCTAGCATTACTCGTAGGAGGAGTCCTTGGTTACCAATATAAAGAAACGGTGAGTGATCCTAGATTTAGGTACGGGTATTGTGGTTCAAGAATGCAGAGACGGTCTGCTCCTCAAAGAAGTGTAAAATATTTCTTTTCTTAAACTAGTTATATATGTATTTTTTTTAAATTTGGTTGTATTTACTTTCTCATTTAATTTCTTTGATAGGAAATGTTCAACAGAAAAGTCAAATTTATGAAAGGTTTAAGTTTACAATTTTTTTTTTCAATTAACTTCCACTTTTCATTAAACGTTTTCTTCAAGAATTTCTATAATTAATAATGATATTTTTCCTTTAGATAGAATCCTCTATCGTGTTACAAATGGAGACATCCCTTAACAACTCGTACGGTGTGGATAACTTTGTCACGCATGCGTGGGACCAGTTACAATCCACAGTAATACACAAATACACAGGCAAATCACCATTTCATTATCATCTGTATCATTTGTATCATTATTTTCAAGTTCAGTGATTTTTTTATAGAAGCATTTCTATTTGATACTGTATATGTATGATCATTAGCATGTACTAAATATATAACTTTCACCGCAAGTGAAATTTTCCTGTGATGCATGTTATAAAATATTTTAATACTAGAAGTCAAAATATTTTTTTACTTACTCTACGTAGTAAAAATTAAAAAAAAGTAAACTGGATGTTTTAAGATGTAGATAATTAAAATCTACCTTTTCTAATTTTAAAAAATCTTAATTTCTTATACTTGTAAACGGTGAAGCGCTGGTGTATGTATATTTGTCTACTGCTCTTATGAACATTTCTAAACATTAATTATTAATATTTTCAGCTACACTGTTGCGGAATAGAAGGAAATGAAAACTCAACTTACTCCTGGTCTTTTTATAAACTATCTACGGACTGGTATAAAAACCAAGTACAGACTGTAGGTAAGAATTTTTATCCCTAAAGTTTCATAATAGACCTAAAAGTCTGTGTCATAAGGTAATCAAAATTACATGTAAATAAGATTAATTAGGATACTCTTCACTTCTTGGTCAAACCCGGTACTTTCAATAAAAATTGTTAGATGAAGATTCTTGTAAGATTTTTCACAGTAAGTATTGCCTGAAGTAATTGATATCTTAAGACACATTTTGATAAAATCGATTTGCAATATTCATGATAAAGTCTCATTGAAAATGAAAAAGTATTGCATTAAAAACTTTGCGTACGGATAAGCGTAATTATGCAAATTCTGGGATCGTAGATCACAGTAATTTACTAATGGAAATGACAGTCTTTTGGGAGTTCATCAATAAATATCCATGCTTGCCACAGAAATCTTTCATGTGAAACATCAAAATCTTTTCAAGTCTTAGTGAGCGAAAACATTTTTTACATTGAACGCATGTGTAAATAAGATTAACAAGAGGTCCAGGGGCCACATCGCTCACATGAGCACTGGCTAGGAAAAAACAAAAAAATCTTTGCCCCACCATATATTGTGACCCCCCCTACCCCTGAGGGTCATGATTTGAACAGTCTTGAATACACACCACCTGATCATGCTTCGATATAAAAAAGACTAATCCTAGCTTGTTCTTGAGACGAACATCTTTCCTATATATTCCTATGTAAACCTTAGATCAACCATTGTTACCCCACCCTATACCCCAGGGTAAATTATATGAAGAAACTTGACTATACACCACCTGAGTATGCATACATATAAAATGACCAATCATGGCTTTGCTGGTCTTGAGAAGAAAATTCTTAAAGATTTTCCTTATACATTCCTATATACAAAAAAAAAACCCTAGTCTGTCCATTGTGGCTCAGCCCTACCCCCGATGGTCATAATTTGAACAAACTTGAATATGCACTACCTGAGGATGCTTCCAAATGAGTTTCATCTTTTCTGGCCCAGTGGTTCTTGAGAAGAAGATTCTTTTAAATGACATTTATTTTTTACTTAATAGTATTCATAATTATCTCCCCTTGGAAGAGGACGTGGCCCTTCAATTGAACAAACTTGATTTCCCTTACCTAAGGAAACTTTATGGCAAGTTTGGTAAAAAATGTCCACGTGGTTCCTAAGAAGAAAGTGAAAATATGAGAATTTTAAAACGATGACAACAGACAACGGACAAATTTTGATCACAAAAGCTCTCTTGAGCCTTCGGCTGTGATTGAATTTTACTGACACAAAGAAAAATATGTACTGGTGCATTGACAAGGTCAGTCAGATTGCTTACTTGTCAATAATTAAACATTGTTGATTTTCACTTTTTCTCATTTTTAAGGACGTCTACAATATGTACCGGAGAGCTGCTGTAAATATCCATATGATACAAACAACGTGACCAAATGTATAGGACTACAAAACAGATACACAGCCCCTGTGGTGGGGCCTCCTGTCTCATTAATAATGCAGAATGACCAACTTTTTACTCAGGTAAATACAAATACTGTTTATCAGGGGTGTCTTTGCTCCTGTTTTATTTTCGCCCTTATTATAGGTGGGTGAATTTTTTTAAACGAGGCGGAATCACGAATACAGTATAGTGTCTTTAAACAAAACTATGATTGAACGAATTTTAAACGGGGTAGAGTTGGTCGTAAGTACAAAATGGCGAAAATTAATATTAGGCGAAAATAACCCTTATACACTATACCGACGTCCTCTCTGCATAGCACATGTGCAAGTTCAAATGTAGTTTCTAGTGAATGATCTGGTTATTCTTCTTAAACCTATAATCTCAAATACTTTACTTTTTTGAAAACAAAATAAATGTTAAATTGTACATCAATAATACTAATACAAAAATAATGTAATTTTAGGGATGTTGGACAGTGCTGCTAAGCATTGTACAAAATAAACTCTGGCTGGCCATGATTTTAGGAACAGTTTCAGCTTCTCTGTTGGTGAGTTATCTTTCTTCACAAGAGAGAGAGAGAGAGAGAGAGAGAGAGAGAGAGAGAGAGAGAGAGAGAGAGAGAGAGAGAGAGAGAGAGAGAGAGAGAGAGAGAGAGAGAGAACTCTAAAGAAAAATCAAGATTCTGCATTTTGTTTTTTCTTTCTTAAATGTGAACTTTTCTCGATGTTGCATAAAAATTGGTAAAAGCAAGTATTGATTATCTGTAGAGCAAGAAGATTAATATGTAAACGAGATAGTGATTTCAATTTCATTATTTAGATTTAATGACCAGCGTTAGCTTAATCTTAAGTTTATGGCAGAGAGCCAAACTATTTCTCTTTAATCCTGAGCAGAATAACGTAAATATTTAACAAATTATGTCAGAAGCCAAGTAATTTTGACTTGAGATTTTGCTTTTGATGCCCACAGCATCCTTAAAAGACGGTGTTCTCTTTCAGTTGATTGGAATGATAATGTCTGTTTGTCTGTGCAAAAGAATAGAGGAACAGATTTATGAAGAGGACGATGAAAGATTTCAAGAATTCATTCTATCATGAACATACAGACTGATCTCGAATCAAAGCTATTCAAATTCATTGTAATTTTTCGTAATTATCAATTTCCTCAATTTATTGTCAAAAAGGAAAGTATTGTTGAACACGACATGTACTGTCATACAAAGATATTTAAATCAAATGTAAACATAGAATTAATTTTGCATGTTTGTGGAATATAATTTTAACAATTTGTAAAATAATCAATATTTCACACTACAATTAAGGGTTTGTATGTAAAAATAAATCAAAAGAAAACATTAATTTGTGAAATAATCAAATAATATAATATTTCAATGTAGAATTCAACAGGTGTTCAGCATGTAGACTTATTCAATTTACAGCGTTAACTAGAAATTATCTGCAAAGCCGACATGAACAGTATATATAAATAATAAAAATGTAGATAAAAGTGAAAATGATTACAGAATTGTATTACCTTAACAAAAATACACTATAGAGAACTATATATATTGTGAATATTTTGATTTGCTTTGAAAGTATCTCTAGATCTAGTTTTCAGATTTAGGGTATCAAAATTTAATATTAATTCTAATCCACTGATGCACATTGTAGAAACAGAATGTGGACATTCATACAATGCATATGGCATTGCAAGATTGAAGGCAAGCTTAGAAACTAATGTAGGAAAATCGTATTACAAATTCTTTGATTTACATAAACTACTTGAAATCAAATACTTTACATTACAATTTTTGTAAAGCTTAAAGTAAGTACGTAATTGAATATTAAATGTTTAGTACAGCTTTAGATAACAAATTCAAAATGTTAGATTGATTTAATCAAGACCAATCTTTATTTTCGTCGCTTTTAAAATATAAAAATAGGTGGATTCCAATAGTTTTTACTTTTCTATTTTTTCATCAAATATGAGGAAAATAAGTGAAATAAGAAACATTTAATTAAAAAAAAAACTCTTGAAAAAATGTAAAATGTGTGGCTTAATTAAATGGTGTTTCTTTCTCTATCCTAAATACTGATTTATGTATGATACAAAAATATCTTTAAATTAGATTGTCATGTCAGGAATTGATCATGTTATTTGCACTCAATTTTCCCTCAAACTGCATGCTTATTATACAATGATTCCACTGGTAATTACATGACCATCTCGTACATGTGATGGTTGTTAATATCCAGCATCGCGTGCATCCATTTTAAAAGCTGTAATACAACCATTTACAGATCATTGCAGCAGTGATTACTTGAAGTGTATCTGTCATTGGTCTGCTCCCAGGATTGCATGCATCCGTCTCACACGAGGATACACATCCGTCATACAAAACATTCTCCAAATTGAATTGATTACAGTTTGCGTCCAGCGACTCGATAGAGCAGGAACGAATTATTGTCTCCGTCCCATCTATAGCTGAAAGCGGAGAAAATTTAAAGTGCCATTTAATGTTTGATTAAATGTACAGTTAAAAGCTTGACCCCTTTAAATTTGTAATCAATATAATCAATAACAAAAGCATACTCTGGCGAAGATGAGTCACATGTGAAAGTCAATTTGTTTAAGCGAATGGTTTTAAGATGTGTTGCATTTTCCTTCCATCGATATTTTTGATTCAATGAACCTTGCTTTGTCAATTCCAGACAGTCTTTTAAACAGAAGTCTCTGCCTTCCAGGCTTGAATCAATATGTTGTCTTTCAGTAAGACACTGTCTGTACAATGGTTTACATACCAAAAAGGAAACCTTAATACGAAACTTGCTGAGAATTATTATTAAGTCTTACGGTACACGATTTATAAGCGAAGACCAGGCTTTAATTAGGTACCCGGGGAAAGATGATGAATAAAATATTAGATACACGTATATAGAAAGATCTAAATCAAAGATGATGGCTAATGATTGAACCACCTGCGGCATCGTATCTATAGAAAAGCCTGTTATGGGATTTGGTTATGAACTCCAACGAAGTTTTAAAATGCCTCACCTTTATTCTGTATTTACACCAATAAACAAACATGCGAGTAAAAAATGCAAATTGCGATATAGCACTGAAAACACTGATTTTCAAAAAGATATGTTAGCTATGGAGTTCAGGTTAAAATACTGATGATTTCTCTGTACATCCCCAGTGGGGAAAAAAACTCAGTTTCCTAAAACTTTGCTAAAAACTTTCATCTTTCTTGACTTTCTAAAGTGAAATAAGATAACGTATAGTATAATACGGCAATTAAATTCGCAGTCAATTGGAACAAAATAAATCTGGAGTAGAACAAAGACGGACTCTCCAAATAATCAGAAAAGGATCACATGCCATAAAGGAGGAAGTTTGACCGCTAAGGATGCTGATACATGTAGGTCACATTCTCCTTGGATTATTTCCTTGATCATTTCAATATTCTCCTTATTTAACTACAGGTATTTCTCTAGTTAATCTAATAAACCAGTGGTAAACAATGCAAGACATGGAAATATTTGCTTGTTTTTGTTAAAAGTGTCTCTCTCAAGAATTATTTTACTCATAGAGACACAAACATTTGCCGGTGAAGAGCTACAAATTTTGTCTTACACTCTGCACTCATCGCCATTGAGCAATGAGTGATCTTCTTTGCACCAACAACTACTGCGACACGGGATGTCGGTTTAAACAGTTTAAATGGTCTCATCCGAAGGACCTGCCTCCATGTCCCACAGTGGGATTCGAACCCATGACGTAAGGATCAACTCGGTTACTTCTTACTTCAGATTTTAGAGCAGACACTCCAACCACTGCGCCACGATGGCGATGACATTAAAAATTAGGTCCTCAAAAACTGCTTTTTAACAGAATGTTTTAAATGCTATTATTTTTTAAGAAAAAGATAATACCCATTTTAATAAATACTTACAACTGGTGCCTTTGATCTTGGTGCAGTACCTCGCTGGGAAAAGTCCGACCCTCCCCTCTCGCCCCTCCCCACAGTCTACTGTTACGTTATTGTAGGCTGGGTGGAAGGGGTCGTGACAAAAAGGATCGCTGAAGTTTCTGGAGGAACATTTGTAGCAATTTATTGCTTCAACTGTACAAAATTAAGAATTCATTATAAGAGAAACATTCAATGCTGCTATATCCAATGCATTTAAAACTTTTCTATAGAATGCAAACGTTTTCATTTAAAAAAAACATCAAGACTGTTAAACTGTTATGGGGAGATTGATCGTGGGCATTTATGTCTGCTGTTCAATTCAGAGGTTACATTTTTTCTTCTGTTCATAATATCTGCAAGGTCAAGCAAAGGTCGTAATTTTCAAATTTGTTTCTCTAATTAAACTTCATCTCCAAAATGCAAATCATTTACAATATAATCAAAGGCATTATCTTCTTCAGATAACTTTTGTCGAAATCTAACAAAGAATTGGTGGTCGACAAAAGGATCGAACTCTTAAGGAATATTTTTTGCTTTATAAATCTATCAGTGAGAGAATATTATGCTGAATAAGTTCAGAAGAAAAAACGTAATCAATGATCATTCCGCATGCAAATTTTCAATAGATTCACATCAAGTCACCATCCCAATAACAAGACATTGGAGCATGCTTCCGGTCATGTGTCTATTGCAAAAGACACCAAGCAGTACACAAAACAAGAGATCGAACTGGAGAAGAAAAAACACAATTTGCGAAACATGCTTGAAGAGAATCAGAAAGCGGGACTGTTTGTCGGCTCGAGGTAATCGATTTAGAACAGAAGTATAACGACCTAATAATAGAATTAAGCTTTGTGCAATCAAAATAACATGAATATAAAATTCAGCGGGGAATGAGATATTGGATTTTGTAGAAGAGTGCTTTGTTCGATTACAGAGTCCAATGTATGATTATTTTATATATCTAAGGTAATTTCTAATAAAAATGGATTTTGATTTCGTTTTCTTCTTTCATTTTTCTCATTTTCTTTTTTAAGTATATCTTGCAAGAAAGATTATTGGCAGCAAGCATTGTGTATCAATAAAATTTTATCAATTACTCCACTGTGCTGAACACTATACTAGTATAATGACATTTAACATGAAAAACTTTGCCAAGTTCCTGAATTGAGGAGCATGATATGAGACTATTTTGTTCCCCTTCGTGAAATTTAAAATTTCACTAAGCTATGGCGCTCCCCTGTCTTAGATCAGAGAGGAAAAACATTTATAATCATAATTCATTTTTTTTTCATAGAAAATAAGAAATATTATTACATGCAAGGTAACTTTTATAAAAGGAATCATGGAAATATTGTATATCCTCTTTCTATAAAGATATTTAATTTCTTTTATGTATGCAGAATTTTATAATTTTGTAATATGTCATTGAGCTCTTCTACCAAAAAAAAAAAAAAAAAAAAAAAAAAAATTGGTAGTATTTGATTAAAGCATTCTTTAATTTTAATATAAAATTTTATATTTTGGACACAGCGCTTACACAATACATCATCCAAATCAAGTTCAATCATTGATTTTCTGTTCAGTGTTTAGTATAAATGCTTCACATTGAACAATGGACTATATAATTAACCGTACGATACCTTGCCTTGTAGCAAATTTTGGGATACCCAATGGGGCCATATATTAAATACAAGCCTTTTTTATTATTTACATATGCACTTGTAAACTCCTAGATATCATTAACAGATGAATGATAAATCATTATCGAGCAAACATCGAGCAAACATACGTACGCGTGTTAAATAAGATCTTTCTCTGCTGTAAATTGTTCAATAGCATGTCATTGCCGTGGGTTTAGTTAAATATTTATATCTCATTATTACAAAAGTAGTGAAGTTTTAATTGATTTTGGCCCCTGTGGAATCAGGCGATGCTCAAGCAAGGTTTACTTTGTACTTATGGCATGCCGCTACAGTTGTTTAATATAGCAAGGTTTTTGTGTCAATGATAAATTGATTAAAGCGCGGTTGCCATTGGTATTGAGACAATTTATATGTTCGGGGATTTATATGTATTACTTTTATATAATTATGCGAGGATGTAAAATCTATATACATGAACGCTTAAAAACGGAGTATTTTAGAATTGAAACGTGGCATCCCAATACCATCCATAATGCAAACGTAAAAAAAAGTTTTCGTCTTTGATTTATTTTTAATTCTTAACTAAGTTAATAAGTTAGACTATGATTTTTTAAACAACCATATGTCGATTACAAATAGCTATAGATAAAACGGCTTTATCTGCTCTTATATGAATCAAACATAATTACATTTTTAGTATGTATGCAATGCTTGCACAGATAGTTTTAGTGCTAAAAGAGTGAAGTTGCTCGGTTATTCAAAGGAAATTGCTCCATTGATCTTTATTTAAAGATTGAAGAAATGACAGATATGGCATAAAATTACCCATTCAATCTGAAAGAGAGGTTTCTCATCATTGAAAAGATGCACTTTATGCCAAACACATGCCATATTCTTAGTGAAAAGCAAAAAAACTGCTACGCTTATGCCGCATTGATAGAGAATTCTTCAACAATAGATTAAACAAAAACAGTTACCTGCAACATAGAGATGAGAGAACATAAATATTCCAAAAATAAAATTCATCAGACACCAACTCATCGTTGTGTTTTGAACATCATATATTTTACTTTAGGTATCGGCCATCATGCTTCTGTCTTGTATATCAGCAGCTTTCGTCTGCTAGCTACAGCATCACGTGACCAATCAATGGCGGGAACTGGGGAACAATGTCATGTACGAAACATTGCTATCTAGGATTGGAGGGAGGTCATAATCCTTTCCATAGATTGCATATTTACAGAATTATACACTTTACAAAGGCATCGGAATCTGTGGTCTGGGGGGAGATTTAGCCTCCTTTTTTGTTTTGCAAAGATAGACATAATATTTCCATTGAAAATAGCTAGTGTTTGTGCTCGTCTAGAAAATTTCTGTTGGTTTAGCACCCTTCCCGTAATCTTTTAATCTGCTACCGACGCCTATGTTTTACATTAACATTTAAAAAAAAAATTAGTACATATCTGGCGAAACTGTATACATGTATTTGTCAAAATAGAAATAAAGCATTAATTACCACCTCGATATTCAAAGTCTTTACACCAGCAATCGATTTGTTCATACAAAATGTACACATACATGTTGGACTCATGATAAAAGATTTTAAAATGAAGGATATTCTACAGACTTCTTATTTGAAAATGTTATTTTTTAGCTCACCTGAGCTAAAGGCTCAAGTGAGCTTTTCTGATCAAAATTTGTCCGTTGTCTGTAAACTTTTCACATTTTTATCTTCTTCTCAAGAACCACTGGGCCAATTTCAACCAAACTTGCTACAAAGTATCCTTGGGTAAAGGGAATTCAAGTTTGTTCAAATGAAGAGCCACGCCCTTTTCCAAGGGGAGATAATTATGAATTAGAGAAAAATTAATGACATTTTTAAAAAATCTTCTTCTCAAGAACCACTGGGCCAGGAAAGATGAAACTCATGTGGAATCATCCTCAGGTAGTGTAGATTCAAGTTTGTTCAAATCATGAACCTCGGGGGTAGGGTGGGGCCAAAATGGCCGATCAAATTTTTATATAGGAATATATAGGAAAATTCTTTAAAAATCTTCTTCTCAAGAACCACTGGGCCAGGGAAGATGAAACTCATGTGGAATCATCCTCAGAAAGTGTAGATTCTAATTTGTTCAAATCATGAATCCCGGGGGTAGGGTGGGGCCACAATGGCAGATCAAAGTTTTACATTGGAATATATAGGAAAAATCTTCTCATTGAGACATGCAAGATAAAACTCCTGTGGAATCATCCTCATGTCGTGTAGATTCAAGTTTTTTCAAATCATAACCCCCGGGGGTAGGGTGGGGCCTAATGGCCGATCAAAGTTTTACATAGGAATATGTAGGGAAACCGTTTAAAATCTTCTTTTCAAGTACTTCAAAGCCATGCTTAGTGACATTTATAGGGAATCATCCTCGGGTAGTGTAGATTCTAGTTTGTTCAAATCATGACCCCTGGGGGTTAAAATTCAAGCCCCCCCCCCCCCCCCAGTAAATTTTTAGTTCTGATCTCATATTTTCTTTTTCCTAGCCAATTGCTCAGGTGAGCGATGTGGCCCCTGGGCCTCTTGTTTAATGTCACATTTACCAACCTGTCTAAACATTTAAGAATTCAGTACTTTTTTAGTTCGTCAGATGTATGTAATGATCGAGGGATTCTTCTCATATCTATTGTACTTGCATGTAAAAAATTAATAACCTTTTCATAGATTCCAGATGACAACACCACTTAATGATAGGCTCGTTTTAGGCATCTAAGGGTATAAATATATGATGAGTTATAAATCAGATCTGCATTTCGTTTTGCTTTAATGATTTTAACCTTTTAAATTTTAAAGAGTTTTTCTCATTTTTTTTCACCAAAGGCTATAAATAAGCTACATGTTGTCATAGGTGTGTGAGATTACGTTGATCAAGAAATTCAATAATTTTCTTCTTTTAAAAAGAACTGTAGATTCTACTGGCCTGTTTTGTTTATACAATACTTTTCGAATTTAACATCCGTTGCTTTTTTTTTATATTTTAAACAGAGCGATTAAATGTTATATAATAGTATTTTTTATTGGAGCTTTAACAAACAATGATTTACTTAATAAATGCAACAAATATGTAATATTGATAGCAAGCACGCACATTTTCATTTATTAAAAACAGAAAACAATCATAAAAATTAATATATTTACAGCTCTTTATTTCCAGGTAAAGATGTTTCTATTATTCTCCAATTATCAGCTTTTATTTTTTATATATATATATATATATTTTTTTTTTTTTTTTTTTTTTTTTTTTTTTTTTTTTTTTTTTTTTTTATTTTTTAATTCTTTTTTTTTCTGGCGTGCTTCAAACATCAAACATCATTTATTTTCCTGCTTTTTTGCGAAAACTCAAAATATGAAACTTGGATTTAAAAGTCTGTGTTGAATATTGGTCCCAAAGACATCGTTCTTAGTAAATCCAGTTTTCCCAACTTGTATTTTCAAAATATTGTTAGGTTAAAACAAAATGTGTGTGAAGGAATTAGAAATTACGAAGATGTTGGTTATTTTTCCTCTCACATTTACATGTAAGCACCAAAACCAAACAAGATATTGATGTTTATGAACACACAAAGACATTGAAGTTAATTTAAGACCGGTTTTATCCTCAAAAAAAATTATTTTCCTTGATAACATCAGCTTGTTTACTGTTCTTTAGATTACGTAATTTAAAATTTTCCCTATAGTTTTTATTTTCCTGGCTGAAAAAAACTTAAATATAATCACTTCATGTACACGGTGATTTGAAAAGGCTTTTAGAGATCTAAAAGAGAAAAGGTTTGTATAGTGAATAAAAATGAAGTGGTAAATTTCCTATTATATGTGCTTAAATATGTACCTTATCATGTCATTTTAAAATTATTTTGTAAAAAAAAAAAAATGTTAAAAACTTACTGATTATACACAAAAGTATACCGAAGTTGATATCAAAAATGTTTCTGATTGACAATATCTGTGTAGATTTGCAGGTCTTCCAACCAATTGTCTGAATTGCCATTTGTGTTTTATAAACAAACCTATTTTTGTATTCTTATTTAAGTAAAAGCGAAATATATTATAAATGAGGATAAAAATTACTCTCTTTTATATATCGACGACGTGATTTTTACTAATAGAATTATAAACAAAAGTTATTTACTTTCACTCATACGCTGACTAAAAATCGACATTGAATCCAAATGTACTTTAAATAAAATGAAATTTATAGAGATATTGAACAGTATTCAATTTTAAAAGTTCACTGAAAAATAGCATGGGCAGAGCAAACATGGACCTTTAAAGCATCAGAGGTGGGATCAGGTGCCATGGAGGAGTGAGCATCCACTAACGACTTGTTACATCGTACCTTCATATGCTTCTTGTAATGATCGGAAAATCACAAGAAGTGTAAATAATGGTCTAACAATTAGTATGAAAAACTTAAGTTAGTAATATGGCTTAGTTAGTAATGATAGATTGTATTTGCTGACAAGATCATTGTGCTGGTATCTACCATAGGACTTAGGATATATTGCAATTATCTTTACATGAGCCATTTGATATTCTTCTTTCATCAAATTGTTTGTCAATTGCCTCGTAATAGAAATTTCTCATATGTTGAGCATGTTCTTGGATATAGAACCATGTGAGGGACATAAAGTGCACATAATTAGGGAAAATTGACAACTGAAAAGATAAACTCATCGCGTTTATCAAAACTTGGATTTTATTAAAAACAGAAAACAATCATAGAAATTAATACAATTTACAGCTCTTTATTTCCAGGTAAAAATGTTTCTGTTATTCTCCAATTATCAGCTTTTAGTTGTTTTTGTTTTTTTTGTTTTTTTGTTTTTTGTTGTTTTTTTTTTTTGTTTTTTTTTTTTATTTTTTTTTTATTATTTTTTTTTTTTGATTTTTTAATTCTTTTTTTTATTTTCTGGCGTGCTTCAAACATCAAACATCATTTATTTTGCTGCTTTTTTGGGAAAATTCAAAATATGAAACTTGGATTTAAAAGTCTGTGTTGAATATTGGTCCCAAAGACATCGTTCATAGTAAATCCAGTTTTCCCAACTTGTATTTTCAAAATATTGTTAGGTTAAAACAAATTGTGCGTGAAGGAATTAGAAATTACGAAGATGTTGGTTATTTTTCCTCTCACATTTACATGTAAGCACCAAAACCAAACAAGATATTGATGTTTATGAACACACAAAGACATTGAAGTTAATTTAAGACCGGTTTTATCCTTAAAAAAATTATTTTCCTTGATAACATCAGCTTGTTTACTGTTCTTGTAAATTACGTAATTTAAAATTTTCCCTATAGTTTGTATTTTCCTGGCTGAAAAAAAAACTTAAATATAATCACTTCATGTACACGGTGATTTGAAAAGGCTTTTAGAGATCTAAAAGAGAAAAGGTTTGTATAGTGAATAAAAATGAAGTGGTAAATTTCCTATTACATGTGCTTACATATGTACCTTATCATGTCATTTTAAAATTATTTTGTAAAAAAAATGTTAAAAACTTACTGATTATACACAAAAGTATACCGAAGTTGATATCAAAAATGTTTCTGATTGACAATATCTGTGTAGATTTGCAGGTCTTCCAACCAATTGTCTGAATTGCCATTTGTATTTTATAAACAAACCTATTTTTGTATTCTTATTTAAGTAAAAGCGAAATATATTATAAACATGACAAATGAGGATAAAAATTACTCTCTTTTATATATCGACGACGTGATTTTTATCAATAGAATTATAAACAAAAGTTATTTACTTTCACTCATACGCTGACTAAAAATCGATATTGAATCCAAATGTACTTTAAATAAAATGAAATTTATAGAGATAATGAACAGTATTCAATCTTAAAAGTCCACTCAAAAATAGCATGGGCAGAGCAAACATGGACCTTTAAAGCATCAGAGGTGGGATCAGGTGCCATGGAGGAGTGAGCATCCACTAACGACTTGTTACACCGTACCTTCATATGCTTCTTGTAATGATCGGAAAATCACAAGAAGTGTAAGTAATGCAAATGGTCTAACAATTAGTATGAAAACTTAAGTTAGTAATATGACTTAGTTAGTAATGATAGATTGTATTTGCTGACAAGATCATTGTGCTGGTATCTACCATAGGACTTAGGATATATTGCAATTGGCTTTACATGAGCCATTTGATATTCTTCTTTCATCAAATTGTTTGTCAATTGCCTCGTAATAGAAATTTCTCATATGTTGAGCATGTTCTTGGATATAGAACCATGTGAGGGACATAAAGTGCACATAATTAGGGAAATATGACAACTGAAAAGATAAACTCATCGCGTTTATCAAAAAGCTTTGTTGTTTGGTTACGTAGTTTTATTGGAAAATATCCAAATATGAAACAAACGTGTCATACTCTGTGACATCGTCTATTTCAAGCTTACTAGAATTTATGCAATGTGGTGTCGACATATTAATGGATATATTAATAGTTTATTGAAAATATGTCGTCGATATATCTAAATGTCGAACTGAATGCCACAGCAAGTGTTTTCTTCTTATAGTGTAGAGGAATTTGTATAAATTCTGCTTGATATGAATGCAAAAATAAAGATACCACAGAGTCTGGCAAATCTGTTTCATATTTGGATATCTTACAACAAAAATGTTAATGGCAAGATCGTAAATAATAGCTTTTGATAAACTTGATGATTTCAACTTTTCTACTGTCTAATTTCCTTATTTATACAGCAATATGCGCTGATCGCGATCGCCAGCATATAAAGGTTTTGATTTCTTCTTGATTCCATACTCAAGAACATGACCTACGTACGACCCATTTCTAGATCAAAACAAACTTTTGAAAAAATTTAACAAGTAGATGAAACAAGGATATCTTACTATCCTTGCACATATTGTAGGTCATAAATACGTATTATAGACGAAAACAGCAATATTGGCCGACATATGACATCTCTTTTCAGAATGGGCGACAAAACGTATCTTATGTATTTTTTTGGCACATACTGTTGTTGACAACGAGAAATATTGCCAAGATTTGTTTGAAAAGATTTTACTGAGGTAGGAGTACACTGTATACATAATATAAATACTTCAAAAGAATTAAAATTCATGATGATATTTACACCTTTCTTTCTCTTAGCAGTGCAACTTGTCTTATTATTACTAGTATATGATTTCATGGCAACTTCTTGTTAGAGTTGTAAGAAGAGAAAAATTATTTCGGTCCTATAATGGTGAATATTGGAATTTCAGAATCATGTAGACACTCCAAATCATATTCAGATCTTTAAAAGAGCAATGATGCAGAATTATAAAAAGCAAAGCGCACTATTATTGTATCATTGTTATGCATAGGTCACATTTAAACCGACGGTCGGGCGACTAAATTTTTTTGTTCTTGTCGGCTGAAAGAAGTTGATCGGCCGAAACAAGTATCGGGGACACGGAGCAGTCACATTGATTCCTAGGAACACCGATGACTTGGACAAATAACACAAAACAGTCGTTTTTCTTTAGAAATCAGCAATATTTTATAGATCCATATTCAGATATGTGACATGAATAATGATTGCGAGGCAAAGTGGCAGAATATTATAAGATTGTGACTCTGTTAAAAATGTGTGCAAAATTTTGTATAGAATTGTATAAAACGACAAATGGCGCATATCTAAGCAGCAAAGCATACTTACGATTTCTTTATATCTAACAGATTAAGTGAAATAGAGTCAGTTTCTGAAAAATGAAACAAAAGAGTTTACATATGCATTTCCATATCGTATATAACCATAACCTTAATATTTTTAACAAAACAACTCCATTTTCCCCTGGTACGATAGCTATTTTGCAGTAGTAAATCTCGAAAACTTCTCGCGTCCTTGACTGTTCACGTTACTTGGCCGGTGTGAGTGGTGGTGATGGTGAGTTGGCGGAACTTGGTTCATTATCTGATTACTTGGTTTATCCAGAGAGGGATCCGAACCAAACCTGGTTAGACGACTCATTCGGCTCTTGGTATTGGTTGCGTATCGGTCGTTCAACTGTGACCGAAGTTTTTCCTTTTCGTTTCTCTCCTTCTCAAGCTCGTTGGCTAACTTTGACATCTTATTAGAAGTATTATCCATCCGGTTTTCGTAGATCCGTGCCTTCACTTGGTCGGAAATTTCTGTGCTGGCTTTGAGATCTTTTAGAGGTATTTCAGGATTGGAGAAAATTCGAACACACTCTTCCAAGAGTGGTTTCGATGAACCGGCATCAGCAGATTTTATGCATTTTAGGAGAATTTCAGGGGCATTGTCCCGCCGGTGTTTAAATGCTGGAGGTCCTTTGGAGACTTTAGGATTTGAAGGTGATTTTCGAAGACTTCCAATGAGTACCTTTTCACATTTTTCTTTGAGTTGAATCATTTCATACTCATTTGCAAGAGGTAACAGTTTTATAGCTGCCTTTTCTGTAATGAAAGAATGTCCATGAGTAAATAACACATTCATACATCGTGATATATCATTTTTTCACATAACAAATGCATTAAAAAAATAGATTTAATATTTCATAAGGCTTTGATTTTAGAGACGGCCTGTAATGTATCTTCGATTTTTGTCCTCGTTATTTTGATATTTTTTACAAAGTAATCAGATACATAGTGATGCATGTACTGAACATAGTAATCTAGTTTGACGTTGTTTCAAATTTTATCTTAAGAACACACATCTTTTCATGCATTGTCAGCACATTGCATTTCTGGAAAGATTTACATTAACAATAGAACATTAATAATACCTGTTAATTCTTTGCTGGTTGACGGATGTAGATAAGTCAGAAGCTCAACAAAGTCAGAGTAACTCTTGTCACTGATTTTCACCTCCGCCTTGGTCTTCTTCTCCGCCAGGGCTGCCTTATTGGCAGCGTCTAGGAGTTTTTGGAAATGAGGCGAAGCGTATCCCAGAATGCATCTGTTAATGAACAACTTCTTTCCCTCTACCACTAATATGGTATCAGTGTATTGGTCCTCTTTAAGAAAAGGCAAACTGGACTCGGGCTTAGGCCCTCTATTGTGGGTATGGTAGGTTACAGGAGATCTCGTGTCTGTGGCAGGTTGTTGCTGTGGAACTGGCATCAATGGTGTCCCAGACATGTTGTTTGAAAACGCTTTGTTAATCACTTTTTACTTAAAATGGCAGTTGACAGGAAAATTGATTGTCAACAGTATATCAAATGTACGTAACTATCAGTCTTGTTAACACAATACAGTTTCTGTCTTTGTAAATTAACCCTTGGAACAATGTTCTTGTTAAACAGTAGAAGCACTTTTCCGGAACTTTAAGCATATCTTTTCTATTCAATTATTGAAAACGATAGGCAATTTAAGGCGTGTATTTAATTGAGCTGTCGTATACCGGTAGGTCGTGTGTTTTTTAAGGAATAGGATGTTGGGTAATTTAAATCTTTTGGGGGGAAGTTTTATTATCCTTGTTCTTTGTTAATAAAAAGAACAGATATGGATGATCTTCTTTTAAGGGGAAAGGGGGGGGGGGTATAGAGGTAAAAAATGTGTTTAATTTTATACTCAAAAAAGTTTAGCAATCCTTTTAATTAATACATGTAGCAAATATTCAGATATACGGAAAATAACACTCACGTTATCATTAACAAATGTAAAATATCTAGAAATGGCTGTGTTAAGTAAACTTATTGCACAGATGGTACTCACTACCTATGATTTACCCTCTCGTATGAGAATTATAGAATATTGTTAAAATGTATAAACAATAGATTTCATCATAATTACATGTATGGTAATAAATGCATGTGCCTTAATTCAATAGTGTGTATGCCAAAAAATATCATTTCCAATGTCTTTGTCCGAGATAAAATTACAAATAGTTAATGTACTTTATTTCCTCATCAGCGTACTCGGTACTGGTTCATCGCGGTTAAAAAAATCACGTGCAAGGCGGGACAAATAGAGACAAGAAGCGGGGCTTGTAGCACGTGGATTGGCGGAATCTAGTGCATATGTAAAATATAAGGAATAACTGTCAGATTTTTCGATATCATGGCGATGATCAATCTATTGGCTTGCGTGATAATTTTATTCGGCGTTTATGCAAATTATCACACAAGTCAATCGATGGATCATACATGTATTATGAAATCGAAAAATAAAAAAGCCAACTTTTTTCTTAAACTCTCTCTCTCCCTCTCCTCTCTCTCTCTCCTCTTTTTTCTATCACTCTCCTATTATCCTCTTTCTACCTCTTTCTATTAAAAAAATACATCATGTATTAATTCAGTGTATAATATTGTATAAAGAGATGTGAATAAAAAAAGAAAAGAAAAAAAAAAAAGAAAAATGAAAAAGTGTATTACTGCCTTGACAACTTTAATACATGTACTAACAATGCATGCTAACTCTGAAAAGCGATCGTACATTTTTTTTATATTCAAACAAAACTAATTCTTTAATTATTAACAATTGTTATCCAAACTTCTCTCACTCTCTTCTTTTTTAAGGATGGGGAGGGGGTTGCCCTACCTCGAATTTTATTTAGATCTCTATACGTATACGAAAACATTGATTTTAAAAAATATGTAATGTATAAAAAGTCTTGCAAATTCCTATTTCTTATTCCTGTGAAACGCGTTTTGGGGTGTAAGATTAGTGTTCTCAGATTTTTTTTTTCCTCTTGCGGTTTTATCAAATTACTTAATGATATTTGAAATGAGTATAATAGCTTCATGCCGAAATTATTTACAAAACTACCATGAAAGTCAATTAAGGAAATAATCTAAATATTTATGTTCCTGTTTTGAAGGTATAAATCTACTTCTTTATCACATAAATCACTTCCAAGGCTAATGTAAGGAAGGAATTAAACCGGATCACCCTGCTCTGTCTTTGTTGGTTTTGTCTTTTTCATTCCTTACAACGTTTCCAGTGTGAATTCGTATAATATTAGCATTTTTTATTTCCGTACCGCTAAATGGTTTACTATTGTGTTCACAGATTTTTTGACAAAAAGGTAAATGCTAATGTAATAGACTTTTGCTTCTGTATGTTAATTGTCTTTTTTTTCAATTATTAGTCTACTAAATGCTATTTATCATGTTTATAGCTGTTCAGCAGCTGATAAATCTAAACGTACACTTTTTCAGTTTTTACATGTTTTAACACTGGAATTTTGTAATCGGAAAGAGACGATAACAAAATTTGTGGATGGTGTCTTTGACACCGGCATGCACTACAGAAAACAATTCTACCGTATTTCTAAACAATGAAAGGAATTTTCTTTGTTTTCCGAAATAAACTGATCGATTTATTAAATTGTCTTAGTTTCCTTATTTAGTTGTTGAATGTCTTAGGTCTAATTTAAATTGAATCTATGCATTTGTTTATTTCTTGAAGTAATTAAAAACCCATGTTGCTATTCTGAAAATTGGCCAGCATGATATTTACTATGTTTTAATTACATTTCAATCTGAACTTACATGTAACTTAGGAAAGACTCAATACTTTGCAAAATTATTTGACTATAATCTGGTTTGTTCAGGTTAAACTGTTTTATAATCAGCTTATTAGAAAGGCAGGTTTGATCCCCAGTGAACAGATAAGTCATTTATGTTAGTACTAGAGTGTATTATTGCAGGACCTGTGTTCGAATATTCGTACAGCCCATCACATTATTTTCCCTCATGTACATACATTTCAGCTATAACCACATTGTTCTCTTCAATTTATGTTCACATCATAATCTCATTAATGCTAATTGTTTTCTGATTTCAAATTTTCAAGGAACAGGAAGATGGCGTTGAGCCCAGATGATAGAATACTGGGAGAGAAGGTAGACAACTATTGTAGTAGTGATGAGGGTGAACGAGAGGATGAGGAAGAGGAGATTGTAAAATCTGAACCAAAAACTGCCAGTATTCCAGAACCACGAGTAAAGGATTACAGTGGCTTCTCCACAAATGTAAGTTATACTTTTGCAATGATTGACAAACCTACATGTATAACATGTATATAACATCTACTATATTGTAACAGGTACAGTTACATTCAGAGAATTTTCCTGAGTGTACATTCTTTGGGTACAGGCCTAGGATCATAGAAGGAAAATTCTTTCATTTTAAAAGGGAAAAAATGTAATTTTATAATTTTTTTTTTTTGGAAGATACTCAGCTGAACTTAAAAGTGACATAAATAATCCCTTGTGTAATAAAGGAACAATGTAAATCTATATTTTCTTCCTTCTAGAGTTCTAGTCAATCAATTTTTCTCTTATCAGTGCATAATACTAAATCATTAGAGTAAGACATGAACTTCTAGTTGATTTATGTAAAACTTTGTACTTATTCTTGTTTTTGATGAACTAGGTACATGTAAATATGCATGATCACAAAAATTGTCATATTATTATAATTTATCACTTAGATAATAAGAGAAAATGAATTCACTTCCTGGTGACTGATAACAAATGAATATTTTCTGAACTTTCAGACAGGACCAAAGGGTGTGATTAACGACTGGCGGGAATACAAAAGACTGGAAAATGAGAGACGAGAGGAGAAAGAAAGAGAAAAGCAGGCACTGGCTAAAAAACTACAGCTGACTTGTAGATCTCACGTAGGTCACGATTATAGTAACTTACAAACTCAGATTATTTTACAGACTTTATATCTTTGCTTTGAAAAGGATATTAATGCTTTTCTAAAGCATGTAGTCTAGAACATGTACTGTTTGGGTTCATAATTGGTGTATTCAAAATTTAGTTCAATATTATCTGACATGATTATATTAAAACTGGATTCGGAGTTTAAGGGCTACACACCAGCTCACCATATATTGTATTTATTATAAATGATTTCTTATGAATTGATGTATAATTGTAAAATCTGAAGCCCACTTTTTAAAGTACACATACAGTATTTTAAAACACTTTTAAGGTCCTCTTTAATTTTTTTTTTTACATCTTTCCTCCTGACTCAGAATAATTATAATCAAGACATAATTATTCTTGCCAACCTCAAGCATATAAAAATCTGGCCATGATGTGTATGAGGTGAAACAACCCTCATAACACATTTATCATATGATAGGCATTTTGTGTATTGAGAATTACTTTACTAAAAACAAGCTTTGTAACTTACAATGGCAAAATTTATTATTTGAATTAATCAACTAAATTCATTGACTTACTTTTTTATGTTAAATGTATTGAAGGTTTCTTTGTTTAATATTAAAATAGTTTTCTAAAGGTTTTAATTTAAAAAGGTTGGAGCTGGGCCATTTTGATGCCCTGTTCCCACCAAGAGTTTAATTCGCAATAAATTAATGCGAAGTAAACTAATTGGAATTAAAATAATACAAATTAAATTGCATTCACAGGACAGCTAAAGCATAGTGAACTAATGCAAATTAAAATTTTTATTTGTACAAAAAGGTTGTTCAGGAAGGCTATTACTATGTCAGTTTTTATAAGTCACATCATGTTTGCAGAGCCATCAATTTGATATAGTAATGAATAATCATAGTGGTTACAGGTATTCATGTTAGTGTAATTTTCCTTGATATTTGAACTAAATATAGCACTGATACAATGTACCTACATGTATATCTTACCACCAACATGTGTCCTGTGACTTTGAAAATTCTGGCCTTAGGCATGGTAAAATTAATTTGAAATAGCTTTGCTTAGCGTTCACATGGAGTTAATGCAAATTAATTTAATGTGCAGAAAATCATTTGGAATTAGACTAATTATTATTTATTACCTATTATTATCTATTATTGTGACGAAAATCTTGTAACAAGTGTTCCTTTTCTCTATTTTTTAATCAGCTGTACTGATACAGTTTTTCCTTTCTATAATTTAGTTAGATGATGAAAGAGAGAAAGAAAATGACGAGAAATTCCTGGAAGAGTTGGAAAGTATGGAGGATGAATTTTTAAAAGAATACCGCCAGAAAAGGATAGAAGAAATGAGATTAGCCTTGCAAAATATGTAAGTATGAATAAAATATAAAATACAATTTGAAAATATTTGGATGTACTTCAAATTTTTACAATTCGTAAGACAGTGTTTGCATATGTACTTATATCTCTTGCTCATATCAGAATATCAGTAGATATACAGTCATGTAGTACTATATATTTTGGAAAGTTTTCTGTATGATTTTCACACTGACTCTGAAAATAACTTTTTCTGCATTAATTGGTTATTCAGTTGAATTTCAATACAGTTCAGTAGAAAATGAAACTCCTTCAAAGATATACAGTCACTAATAACAGTGTATTTAATGTTTCCTAGTACATTAGCTCTTATAATTCCTTTCACTTTGTCAAAGCTGTCACTTTTGTTCATTTTTCAGACCTAAATTTGGCAAATTGATAGAAATATCATCTGCTAATTTTGTGAGTGAAATCGATAAAGAACAACCACAAGTCATCGTCATAATTCATCTGTACGAAGACGTGAGTATCAGTATAAATTGTTTTTAATTTCTTGATCTGTACAAAGACATGACTATAAATCGTTTTTAATTTTTTGATTTTTCGATCTCTAAATTTCTCAAATCCTTTTAGATTCTTGAGTCTGTACCATATGGAATGCATGTATTCTGTATGTTGTCATTTTATAATTTACAGGATGTTGAAGCCTGCGAATCCATGAATGGTTGTTTAAACTGTCTTGCTCAGGAATATCCCACAGTCAAATTCTGTAAAATCAGGGCCTCGGATGCAACCCTTAGTTTGAATTTTGTAAGTAGAACAAATTTTTGAAAGCTATCAAATATTTTGCATTTGCTAAGGGTACAAGATATTTTTTTTTTAATAAACATACTTTTTTTTTTTTAGAATTTCAATAGAACCAGCTTTGTAAATTAAATTTCAGATTATAAGTAATTCATTGCATTTCAAATTTCAAATAAAAAAGGGAACTCTTTTGTGATTGCTTATAGTCATACAGTGTTCAAAGTCTTCATTTGTGTCAATTACCAACTACATTAGTTTTTTTTTTAATAATTTTTTTTCAGAAGGAAAGTTTTGTCTTGTAAGATTGTTTTTATACCAGAATACTTACATTTGCAAATGTTTTCCTTTATATAACACTACTGAAAGGAATGCGTATCTATAACTGTATAAATACAGGTACGGGGTCAAGAGGTCATAGGTTTGTGTATGAATAATCGTTTGACGTAATTTCTTGGTGATGTCATAAAGGGTCGACGCGCATTCAGTGGATTACATACTTGCCATTTAATTTGAATAATAATAATGCATTTCACATGCTAAAAGTCACAATCAGGCAAATATAAAGTATGAATAAGTCACAAATGTAAATATAATATAATAAGGTATATTTCTTGATGAACATTGTGGGTCTTTTCATACCTCAAAAGACTGAAAATTAAAACCAACACAAAAATTAATGCTTTCACAGTGTCAGATATTCATTACAAGATTTCTCTTTCAATAGATATAAAAAAAAAATTTTAACAGAAAGTTTTGACTTTATCTAGCAAAATTGTTTATTTATTTTTTTTACAAAATTATTCACCAGTTGCAAGCCATTAATATTACACTCTACTTATTTAATTTCCTTCTGGTTTTAGTCAAAGAGTGGTGTGCCTGCCTTATTGATTTACAAAGGGGGAGAACTCATAGGAAACTTTGTCCGACTGTCAGACGAACTTGGGGAGGATTTCTATGCCACTGATCTCGAGAGCTTCTTACATGAGTAATGATTCTGATTTACCATTACATTTGTTTTTCCATTTTACCTTTTCATTGATGGAAACACAGCTCCCCTCCAAAATAAGAATTTAATCTATATAAACATAGCTACAGATTTTAATATATTTTTCATATATAGCTAAAACAATTATTAAACAATGTTAGATTTTCTTTCAGTATATGTGTTAATGCTGGATTGAAGTTAAGAAAAGATGCATTTTGATACACTGTATATAAGTTAAATCTTACATTTCTGAAATAATTGAAAAAAATTTCATGTAATTAATGAAAAAAAATTTTTTATGTAATGAATAAAAAAAAAATTCTAGACAAAATTTTACTATTATATGTATAGGAGTAAACCAATTGGTTTTGCCATTATTCTCTCTCAAACTGCATTACTTAAATTTTGAATTGTTAATTCAGTTTACCTGTCCTATTTTGCAGACATAGTTTTTTACCAAATCCAGATATAAACAACAAGATTATTTACGACCGAATCACTGGAGAGAAAAGAGTCCCGACTGCTGAGGATGAAGACAGCGGCAGTGACTTTGACGTCGATTAACACAAATAAGCTTCATCAATACAATGTCATGAATCATTTGTGTTCCTTTTTTATGGTTTTATTTGTCTTCAGAGGAATCAAACTTTATATATTTTTTTTTTTTTTACCTTGGTAACTTCATAGGCATATAATGTTTCACCTTGATTGGGTTTGTATTTACATGTGAAATTCTACATTTGTACATGTTAGCTACCAGTAAGTGAACTGGTACATGTATGTGTAAATGATGAGCAAGATATTTTTAAAATTATTTTATAGACATTGCACTTGGAACATATTTTATTTAATCTAAGAATCTTTAGAAAATATATGTTACCTTTAAGTAAGAACATTAGAAAATTCTATTTTTATATGTTTTTTTTTTTAATAAAAGGGTATCTTTTTGGGTCTTTGCATAGTAACTTGCAATTTATTATTAATTAATTTATATAAAAATTATATATAAGGTCCTGAAAATTCCTTGTTTTTTTTTTTTTGGAGGTTTTTTTTTGTTTCTATAGTTTAGCCAAATGACTATATTCTCATAACAAATTTTGACCTAATAATAAGATGTATAATGATGAATTCACTAAAGACATCATACGAGGGGTGATCAAACTTAAAGTAAACTATATTTTAGGTATTTAATAAGCATATTATTACTGAAATATTCATATTTTTCAATGTGTAAATTGGAGGTCTTTGACAGCAAATTGCTTAATTAAAAACATCTCTTTTCAAACTTGCTTTCACTGGGGCAACAAAAGTATCATTTTTAACCATCTGCCTTTCTTCACTAAAATGACCAATCCAATCATTGATTGAATTTATAGGAAATCTTTTATCTTAAACTTTGTACAGATTATTATATGCTACTGCAAATGGATTTCGAAGATATTATTACAATAAATTGTACAGTTGTTTGTTGAACACGAGTGAGACAATCGCTTTTCATCACTAGTGACCTACATAGTAACATCATTTTAACATTAATGTGATGTCACAATCAAGGAACAACACTTTATTTAGGATATGGTATTTATAGAACCTGTGTATGGCTATGTTTGTGCCCAATTTTTTTTTAATCTGAATGTGGTTATGTAGATATAGAGATAGTTCGCAAACTTTTTGATCACCCTTCGTAATTACTCTTTTATTTATTTTATATGCATAAACAAAGTGTGTTTTGTGATTTTATTGTGAAAATGTTTTTGCCTGTTAGTTTAGTATCACGCTTAAAAGCTTGGATCCTGAATCACCTTGTTTTCAAATTTACATTTTGTTACATACACTGAATTTATTTTTTTTTATCATGTAAATTACATACATGTACATTCAATATTTTATGCCCATATTTTGCATATGACTTACTTGTCAAGGACAATTGATATGGTTTTCGGTTATGTCAGATGATAAAAACTTTACTTTTTAATTTACACCTTAAATATTTATTGAGGATAAACACTTTTATGTAAACACCTAAAATATTTACTGAGGATGAAATTTTGTGTTTGTAGAATTTCCTTTGTATTCCAATTTGATTTTGTTCATCTTAAAAAGCAATGTATGGGAAAGGAAATGTGCAATATTTTTTCTATGTATTAAAAATGTTCTTTTTAAAAAGTATATATTTCATTTTTGCATGAAAACTTACTCTGGGTTATTTTATCTGTTTGGCAAAAAACAGAGCAGAGTAGACTCATGGCTAAAAAGGTATATCCATTATATTAGAAGAGGATGGTATAAAATCCCTGAAGCATTTTTAAAGGGGTGACAAATTTATAAAACTAAAACGCAATGTTAGCTAGCAAAGATAGATCTGAGTCGAATGTATTTTTCTTTAATAAATGTTCTGACGTGAACACGTTCATAAAGTAAAAGCTACAAGCTGTGGCTCAGCTTGCACAAAACTGATAAGTTTCAGTTGATGCATTATTTTTTAAAGAATGGGAAGCATACAAGGTGAGAATTTCTGAATTTTTAAAGTTCATGGCAAGTTTTTATTTTTCAACAAATATTTTGTCATCAGTTCTTTTATTGTATGACATTTAAATTATTAGTTGTCATTTAAAAGGCATATTTAGTGTTATATCAGAGACATTAAAAATGATTTTTGAACATGAATGACAGAGTCAAGTCAGCATTTTAATTTAAATTGCAAGAAAATAATGAAATTTCTAGTATATTTCAATAAATATGGTGTGATTCTTTTTTAGATATGAAAATTTCTTTTAAAAAAAGTAGAGGTACTGTGAACACTGTACTTACTAAATGATACGAGTAAATGTACCCCTCCCTCCCATTTAAATTATAATGCAAAGTGCATGTTTTGCTCTTGGAAACCCAAAGTAAGAGTCAGATCAAAAAGGAGTTCACAATGGTTTTTTGTAACAAAGAATCTGTGAATTCAAAGTATTATTAAAGTTTATTCAGTGGTATACCATATGAGGAGTTGGGGAAAATAGATGGGTACCCTTCAGTGGTATTGAAAGAATGGCAGGTCTTGAAATATTTCGCTACGGGATACCCGAAATTTATGTCCCATTAGAAAATAAGTAGGAGGTGTACAATGGCTTTATGTAGCAAACATTCTATAAAAGTCATTAAATTTCACTTATGGTATAGGAGGAGTTCGGATAAGAGATGGATACATGTATCTCAAATCAGACGGACGGACGTACAGCTACACAGACGGACACTCTGATTACTATATACCTTCACACTTTTCAAGCGGGGGAAAACGAACTACTAGAATTTTTATTATTTAATTACATAAGATAAAGAAATAAGACTTTATAGCAGACAAGAAACTGAATGGTGAATGCGTATTCATTAGTTGTGTTCAGTTCTAATCACTGCCAATCAGTTCGCTATAGGGAAAGTTGTCGATAGAACCGTTACTTGCATTAATTTTTGTTGTTAGTTTACCATTGATGTCTTTTCTAGTAAAATATCCAAATATGAAACAGATTTACCTCACTTCATGATTATATTTTATGTCGAGTTTAATGATGATAACAGGTTTGTGATCAATAATTAAAAGCACTACGTGTACCTGAAAAATGTCGGAGATGAAAACTTTAAACTGCCGAAAAATGAAGTCTAAAAAAGGTTGTAAATGAAACGTGTAAAATGTCGAAAAATTTCGGAAATGAAATGCAGTCAATCATAAACAATCTGTTAGGTGTTACTTCTATAGGTAACTCCATGTACATGTATAATGTTTCTTTTCTGAATTAAAGAACAAGTTCAAAAAATAGACTTCTTCAGAAAAGACACTTTTTCTGCATGGAATTACTTGTGACATCTTTAATGTATAAATTTTGCACGATTTATCAATAGTGTTTAAATTGCATGTACAATATATGTAACTGGTATTTTTAAACTGCATTCTGTAAAATGAAAAAATCTATGAAATCTTAAATCATTGACGCATCCACAGAAATTTTATTAAGAACAAGGTTCAATAATGGCCTTATTTGGCCCAGTGAATTTCTGAAAAACCTGACACTACTTAGTTTTAGTTAACAATTGATGCATTAAATATCACTTAGATCTTTGGTGATTGCGTATCTATAAAAAGTGACGTGATTTTCTGACTAATCAATGCATTATGACGCCAAGAAATCCGTCAATTTCCTCATATTCTGAAAAAGTCTACAAAAACGGCCAATTTTTAAAGCAGTTTTTCGTTATTTGATATAGAGCGCAACCTCTGATCTAAAATATGCAACTAGTAAATGTTAGAACTGTTTCTGAGGATTTTAAAACATGTTTGATTTTTTGGATCAGAGAGTGCGCTCATATTATTTTTCTTCACTGAAAGTACCCAAACGTCGTTTTACCTTCAAATTCAAAAACATTGCAATTTCATAAAGCCAGTTCTTCAAGACCTGGACTTGAAAGATAAACTTTTAATAGAAAATGAGACAATAGGTCTCTATTTTATCTTAATGCTTCAAATGGAACATCAAGTGTTAATCAACTGGTATATTTACAAGGCCATTTTTATGCACAAAGGGAACCTAGCTCTTTAAGGGTGGCAAATATTGTTCATCAGCTCTTCTGAGCCAAAAGCAGGCCCAAAGAGTAACGGTATGGCCATTTGAGCGGCGTGCGTCAATTTTTTTTTAAAAAATATTGGCCATAACTTAAGATCCCTTGACCAATTTTCGCTCAAGAATTATTTGCTCAAGGGCTCTCATTTACGCCAAAATTAGGGATGTAGCCCTTAAACAAGGGGGTAGAATTAGGATTTTATGTTGTATGAACGTCCCTCTCGAGAATTTTTCACTCATATGGAGACGCCACCATTTGCCGGTGGAGACCTGCAATTTTGTCCTATAATCGGCACTCAGGGCCATTGAGCAGGGAGTGATTTTTTTCGTGCCAGCACTACTGCGACACGGGACCTCGGTTTACTACATACGGTCTTATCCGAAGGACAGGTTTCGACGTCCCCCAGTTGGGTTCGAACCCGCGACGTTAGGATCAACTCCTTACTTCACGACTCTAGAGCAGACGCTCTAATTATATAACCACTGCACCACACGGACGACGATATTATTAGGAAAATAAAAACAAAAGTACTGGTTGCTACAAGACCTCGCAAACCACCGGGTCAGACTATTAGCAAAGTTATATAGAAAGATATGGATATGTTGTAGTTTACGAATTTACAAGGCTTCCCCATGGGGCAAAGGGCGTGGTCTCAAGGCAAAGTTGGCCAACAATAATTATGTTATGTTAAAACATTGATATTTTGCCTTACTATAAGGACGAGGATTAATTATGAAATGTTTCATATGAAGGCATAATTTGGGCATTTAGGGCCTATGATCATCAAACTTTGTCAGTTGATGCATCTTGAGTCTACGAAATATGTATCCCAGGACCCGAATTGCATCAAATGATAAAGTTTGATGATTCTAAGCCAAACAGTATCCGCAATATTAATATGTACCACCCCCCCCCCCCCCCCAAAAAAAAAAAATCAAAAGGTCACAGGGACTGAATGCCAAGACGCATCAATTTAAAAGATTTTATGATCCGAACCTTTCTGACTTTAAATGTTTCGAAAAAGATAAGCCACAATATTCAAAAAATAGATGGCTTAAATTGAATATGTCAGGTACTTATTGGTTTCGAATTATCGAACATTGTCAGTTGATGCATGTTGTGTATTCAGAGTATGTCGACTGAAATGAAGGTACATGTAATTGTGCATGACCTAGCTTTGAAATTACGTGAATTTATTCAATATTTCAGGTTAACTTATTGCCTTCGAATCATAAAACCGTGTCTGTTTATGCATTTCACTTCTTCTGAGAAAGTCGAATTAAAAGTATGTCACCATGACATACTT